AGCAAACCCCCAATGTCAGTCAACAGATTGGGAGGTACCAAACTGAATGCTCCGAGAGTCGGACAACTTGGAGCTTGGGATGCAAGTAGCTGTGGTGACCGTGTCTTTGTGTTGTTCCCTATAAACGCTTTCATATCAACTTGTCGCCACACAGAGCTACGGACTGCCCACAGTGTTGCCTCAATAGACTCTCGATCCAAATCTGCATCTGACGACAAATGCAACATGATTGAAACTTCCTAAGAACGTTGCCTTCAAATACGAATACATGCATTTTAGAATGCTCAACAATATATCTACATTTTGGAAACCGGACAGTTAGGATGTTTCGCGCGTTATTGCGCTTAGCAATGGCACCCAATATCTGTACCATCTTGATGTTTCGAATCCTATCAGTACACATAAAGTTGCATTATCGAAAATATAAGTATACACATTTGAAGGCAATTGTTTTAGGAAGCGAATCTTTTTGCCGTTTTCGTTGGATTACGATTCATAATAGCAGGGCTTTTAGCGCGGTATGTTCTGAATCGGGAATCTGTTGGGAAAACACAAACCGCAGCTCTGTGAAGCGATAAGTAAAAATCAAAGTCGTTTATACGTTGGGAGCAGCACAGGGATAGCCGCAGCTAGGCTGGGGGCCAACAAACAGTGGTGTTAGGATTGGCCAGTAGAAAGATTGTTATTTACATGTAGTTGTCTGAAGTCAATACAAAGAATCTGAAAAGATGATGAACTTTTCTAATTTTCTCGTTTGGTTTGACAGATGAAAGCCAGTTAAAAAAACAAACAACTTTGGCCCCGGGGGTGAGAAATTACCTACTATAGGGATTTGGGAGTGAATGAAACTTGGAATAATACTTGGGGGATTATATTCTTGTTTTTTAAACAAGTGAATGTGTGTCTGACTGTTTTAAGTGAGTGAGAATGGGATCTACTTTTGGCATTCAGCAAGAAGACAGAAGCTGATATTTTGATATGACCGTGCGAGCAATTGTAGTTGAAGTGGCGGAACCATAGTATGCCACATTGTTTCATACGGCGTGTATATGGGAGGTTTCACCAGCCTACACTGACACTTACACCGACACTGACACTTCAATGACACTTGTACTGAAACTGACACTGACAATGACAGTTGCACTGGCACTGGCACTTGCACTTGCTATTGGACTTGTACTGACACTTGTACTTGCACTTGTACTTGCATTTGCACTTGCACTCGCACTCGCACTCGCACTCGCACTCGCACTTGCACTGACACTGACACTGACACTTGAACTGACACTTGCACTGACACTGACACTGACACTTACACTTGCACTGACACTTTCACTTGCACTGACACTTGCACTGACACTTACACTGACACTGACACTTGCACTGACACTTACACTTGCACTGACACTTACACTGACACTTACACTGACACTTGCACTGACACTTGCACTGACACTGACACTGACACTTATTGTCTACAGAAAGGTCTCTTTAAGCTCCCAGGGGGTCCCTGTCGTTTATAAGGCGACAGTAGCCTGGAGTCAGGAGCCAGTAGCCTGGAGTCAGGAGCCAGGAGCCAGGAGCCAGGAGCCAGTAGCCAGGAGCCTGGAGCCAGGAGCCAGGAGCCAGTAGCCAGGAGCCAGGAGCCAGGAGCCAGTAGCCAGGAGCCAGTAGCCAGGAGCCAGGAGCCAGTAGCCAGGAGCCAGGAGCCAGTAGCCAGGAGCCAGGAGTCAGGAGCCAGGAGTCAGGAGCCAGGAGCCAGGAGTCAGGAGCCAGGAGCCAGGAGCCAGTAGCCAGGAGCCAGGAGCCAGTAGCCAGGAGCCAGGAATTTCATTTGACCTCTGTCTCACATATACTGAACCGCAAAAGAAACGTCACCCTAAGTAACATTCCATGAAAAGTTCTTAGTTCGGTAAACCAGAGCTCTAGCCACGAGTTCATGGATATCAGTCTCAGTAGAACAAGTGGGTCTCACAGAAAACCTTTACCAGTTTTTACTTGCGTGACGTCCAACCGGACCTAGAGGGCATATATTTCCTTAGTCCCATTGTCGCAGCGCAAACTATCATCCACCAATAGTTTTCCTACTTCTGTTGAAGGCGAGGATACGACACCAGCAGCATCAGAGGGTACCCTTGATTATGCTGTCTTTTAGAATTAGGATGGATTAGAACATATTGAGTATCAACTGCCTCCAGTGGACCGGAATTGAGATCATAACCGGAAGTGACGTCGGCACCGGAAATAGCAGTACAAGGTTCATCTTATCAGGAAATGACGGTAGAAATAGACATTGAGAGCCTAATAAAAGGGAAGTGACAAACCGGAAGTGACGTCATTACCGGAAGTGAGTCAGCACCGGCAGAAGTGTCACAAATCCAAATTTAACAAGAAATGACGTCATTAAGCAGGAATAGATTAGAAATGACATCATTATTACGAACAAGATCAGCAAATATAACGGTAATTCTATTGAAAGTATCACATATTTGACTAATTGTTTATACATTTATGAATTTCAAGTCCTCAGGGGGAATTTCAGAGGAAATTATCTCGAGTTAGGATTAGAATAAGTTAATACACTCTTCAAAAAAAGAAAGGCACAGGTATTTTTTGTAAATTTATTGTACCTAGAAAAGTCGATATATTTAATATCATAGATACAAATATGAAATTTTGGAACTCGATAGTCACACGTTGTCGTTGTACAGATGCATTGAAAACTGTTTATTGTCATGTCACATAAGGCCACAAGGTTGCGCTGAACTCATTACGGCTCTGCGTCTCCTTGGTACTGACTGGATAAGTGTACGAATTTTGTCCTGCGGATTTCTGCGCCATTCCGCTTGTAACGCGTTGGCCAGTTGTGGGAGTGTCTGTGGCGTGTTCTGACATTGACGTACACGTCGATCGAGTTGCTGTCAAATTTCCCTGAACCACAACCAAGTCAGATCACGTGGTGTAGGATATGACCCCCCACACCATGACACTACCGCCACCGAAATTGTCGAATTCACGTAGACAATGTGGGGTGAAACGCTCATTTCGACGACGATAAACACGTTGTCTTCAATCTCCCCGGTGAAGAAGAAATCGGTATTCATCGCTAAAACACACTCGTCTACAGTTTATCAAATTCCAAGGCTGTAAGGTAAGGCACCAACGCAAGCGTCGATAACTGGCCTTGACAGTCTGGTCCGATATCCTCCTCAAACCAGGGATGCGTCCTGCAGTCTCCATAGCTGTGGCATTGCGATGACGTAGGTGGAGCAGTCGAATGTAATGATCCTGTGCAGGGGTGGAAACTCTTGGTCGGCCGGTTCCCGGACGGTCTGCAGTGGAATTGAACTGCGTGTATCGGTCACAAAGGCGGCAAATGGTGCTGTGGTGGACGTTGAAGAGGCGTGCAACAGAAGACTGTGATTCCCCTCTTTGGATACGATCCTATGGCAATAACTTGCACGTGCACTTTGCCTTACTGTTTTCCTCCATGACATTTTTGAATGTGAGAAAAAATGCCGTTTAAGACATTGCAAATCGACAATGGCTGCGTTTTGACGCATCGTTTGTCGAATATCAGGCCACCAACATTTTCCAAAAACATACATTAAATTTATATACCGGATGTTTTGTGAAGTCAAATCAATGAACTACATACTACCTGTGCGTTTCGTTTTTGGAAGAGTGTAATGGTGTCCAGAAGAGGCTTACAGTCAGTTACACAGGGAGTTACTAGAGGCACCGGGTCCCTCTGGTATATTCTAGCAGAGATGTAATAGAGTTAGAGATTTCGTAAGAATGATCGAACATTAGTTATCATTGTTAATAATTCTAAGAATGCTACCTCTATTACACCCGAAGTACTCCCACCCACCTCCCCAATGCATCTACCTCTAGTAGTTAGATGTGGGGAAAAAGTGAGGTTCCCACCATTGCATACGTCATAGCCTGGGTGGTTACGATGCTACTTGGGAACAACTAATTGTGTGTGATTAACAGTGAAGAGGACGTCTGTTGAAAAATACAGGATTTATGGCAGAAATGTAATAGAGGTAGTATTCTTAGAATTATTAACAATGATAACTATTGTTCGATAATTCACTGAATTTACGAATGCATTGATAATCCCCTGAGGATGGTCGTAGATGATGAGTCCGGGTGTGGCTTTATGATGAAGGGACGGTCGGGTAGCCTAGTGGTTGGAGCGTTTGATCGTCACCCCGAAGACCCGGGTTCGATTCCAGACATGGGTACAATGTGTGAGGCCCATTTCTGGTGTCCCCCGCTGTGATATTGCTGGAATATTGCTAAAAGCGGCGTTAAACCACACTCACTCACTCACTCACTTAATGATGAACGATTTGAAAATAGCGTCCGTGGGTGGTCCTATCATCATAAATGTCTCTTGTTCAAATTTCCTCCATCCAAAGTTTAACTGGATTTATTTCCATGGCAACGGTTTTGGCGTTGGTTCTCTACCTACGCAGGATATTTGGCGATATGCATGGATGTGTAGCCAAAGTGCAATGTTGCTTAGCATATAGCTAACGCACTGTTATCGTTACAGTGACACTCTGAGCTGTTGGTTATGTCCTGAGAAATGTGGTTGAGTGATAGTTGTTTGCCTTCCCCGTCAGCAATATATCAGCTACTTTAGGGAGATTGCAAATAATATGATCTTGTTGACAGCCTGAGAGACGATCCTGTTCATTTTGGCAAAATGTCACAATCAGACAGACAAATTGTAACCACACTTTTCCAAATTGTGTGGTATCTTACCTTAAGGTTATAACCGGAGAGGCCTTTTGACTCATACTTCCGGTAGATCATGAGAACAAAGCTCACGGCTCATTTTATTCTATCTACTTTTGAGTTATTTCGTGCTGTATGGTCTCTGTTCATGAGTCATCATTACCAATTTATATTTAAAGAATATGACTTCATAAAAACAATCAAACTTGTTATTTCAGAAATGATACATAAAATCATATTGCCATGGTATTGTTTCGCTTTACTTCGGGAAATAATGGTTTATTTCAAACAAACACGTATAATCAAAGGATTACTATCGATATAGATGTGTTTCCTTTTCGCATTGTCGTTGAATTCTATAATATCGTTTTAAGATACTTCTTTCAGAGTCCTTGTTCAGAGTGTATAACGACACACCGTTCGCATCAAAGGTCACAGTTTCGCCCCTTCGCTCAAGGAAATAAGATAGCTCACAAGGCGGCGTCGATAGTGCTTGACCATACTTCCCCTTTGTGACACGCCAATAAAACATTCTATCAATCGTCTTGATGATCATTTCGCTGCCATCGGGTGATATGTCCCCAGAGACGGGCCCATCACTCAATGAGGTAAAGTTGAATTCCCCAACAATAACAGTGAGTGAAAGACTTCCACTTGTTTCAATTTTATGCAGCCTTGCGACGCGCGTATTATCGACGTAGAGTCCGTATTCAATTAGAAAGATGTCCCTGAAAGGGGACACCATAATTGTTCTAGACTCCGGTGAATCTGTTCTGCAATAGAGATAATTGTCTCTGTTATAAGTCATACATTGAACGAACAACATGATGTGTCAAGTGCTATTTTATAAGGGCATCCTTTTACATTCGTTCTTAGTAAGACTAGGGGCGGTCGGGTAGCCTAGTGGTTAAAGCGTTCGCTCGTCACGCCGAAGACCCGGGTTCGATTCCCGACATGGGTACAATGTGTGAAGCCCATTTCTGGTGTCCCCCGCCGTGATATTGCTGGAATATTGCTAAAAGCGGCGTAAAACCATACTCACTCACTCACTCACACACTTAGTAAGACTCCTACCATAACATGTTGGTCACAATACGATATGAATATATTGTTTATAACCATACTCAAAATGACACGGTACCTGATTGATAATTTAATAGATAATATAATATGTTTGTGAGTTTAGCTAAAGTTTGAACTATTTTCTATCTGGTATGTGAAACCGCATGGAAGTGGCTTTGTCCTGAACGGGTTCTTAACAATTTGTTTGTGGTTCAACGCCACACTCAGCATTAGTCTCAATTGTATGATGGCGGTCTGTAAATAGTCGTGTGTAGACCATACATTCCAGTGATTGACATCACAAGCATCGATATACGCAATTGGGATACGATTAAGTGCATCAGCGAAGCCACCGATCCTGTGACTCGCCTCTTACAAGGTCAAGGACGGAAGTGAGGGACGTTATTCTTTGATCGAACTGCATACATTCAGCATTCAAGATAAGCGAACAAGTCTTATGTATATTTGGATAGTTTGACAATACTGCTTATTTTGTGGACACCAAAAGTCACGTTACTTGTGAAGACACCAACAATACACCTTGAGACACAATAAATTAAAGTTATTCAGGAAAGGGCGCACTCTTTGATGTGTGATAACGTACGTGTTAATTTTATTTTTGTTATTTCATATCCAGTTTTTTATATGTTGCAGCTGTTTGTCATGAACTTAAAAATTGGCCAGTTGTATTATCCATATCGCGACCGTATACATAGTTTTATCCCTTTTATTATTGTTTTAAATAAAGCATAGCTTTTAAATCGATGTGGTTTAAATTTTGTTGAAGAGCGACATAACTACGTCTTCACCCGAACGCTGTTTAATGAAGGTCGGCAGTCGAACATCATTCCAACGGGTCATTTTCTTGGCCCAAAGTATAGATATTTGGCTGGAAACCCCTAAATGGTCTTAAGTTTGAAGTCTTGAGTAAATCTAATTATTTAACATAAAACTTAATATCTTAATTAGACATCAATTAATCTTTTAAATATTGAATACAAAATGTAATGATAATTTTGATAATAAAAAAGTATTTTTATTTCATAATTGATGAGAAAATTTCACTCAAGTATAAATTACTACGAGAAAAGTGGAATTTAAAAACAAAACAATTTTAGGCAAATTGGAAAATATATTATTTTGTAACGACCAATGCAATCCCAAACGAGCAAGGGGGTCAACCTTATTGTTTTTTCATTTTTGAAATCGCTTTAATCATAAATAATTGTAATTTCTTTTAGAGAATTCAAATGCATGCATAGGATCTGTCCTTCACGTGAAATATTAAACTGGACACCTTTCAATACCGTAAATAACTCACATATATGTCACAACATCTGCAGAGGGCACTTCATATGTAGAAATGGAGAGAGGGTCTTCAGGCTCGGGCACCTTGATGTACTGGTGTGCCCCATATCCGTCATCCTGTATGTAGATACAGTAGTCAGCAGACCCGGAGTCACAGGGTCCCACGGCCAGATCCTCCCATTCATCGTTGGTTACGCCACTCAGGTAAAGTTCTCCGACGTTCAAGCCGTTTTTTGAGTCAATGATGTAAACCGTGGTGTCGCCGTAACTGTCAACAACATACAGTAATCCTGGGTACCTTCTACTTGCAGCCATGGCTCCTGATTGCAGATATAAGTCTGAAACATCCCCAATTACCTGTCCATAGGTAAATATTTGATCTGTAAAAGAAAGTTGTAGTAATTATAAAAATAGATAAGTATGACATTTCTGACCTCTTTCATGCTTTTGATACTTACATAAGTGTCGTTGTCTTTAATAAATGTTTGGTTCGTGTGTTTTATCCTTTAACCAAGAGTGAGTGAGTGAGTGAGTGGGGTTTAACGCCGCTTTTAACAGTATTCCAGTTATATCACGGCGTGTCAGCTTAATGTGGGAGGGAAGGCCGAAGTGATGCAGGTCTCAGACGTTTACCACTTCGGTGAAACCCACGACCACGGGTATGGTGCTGACAAACCTAGAAACATAATCAGGGCGAACCGGGATTCATATTCTACATATTCTACATACACTACATTGACACCATTTCTATTGTAGGATAAAGTGTTATTTCAAAATATATCATGTGTGATAACATGGACAAAAAACTCTAGCCTTTAGCCTTTTGATTCCTTGCACTGAACTGCAGACGGGCAGGTTGTAACTCCTCAGAAATAAAAAAGCCAGATCCATCAGCCGCCCACGTGATGCTTGTTCCATCGAATTGAGGTTTTGAAGGTAGTATTATCTGTTCTTTCAGGAGAGAATTCCTAAAATCACCATCTTCAATCAGAAAGTAGTAAATGTTGTCGTCCATCTTAACAAGAAGTTCGCATCCATCCTTTGATAAATCTGCGGCACCAGGTCCTGTAGAGCGACTTGTAAGATCTAGTGCCACAACTGCCTCGGCAATGCGTCTGTCACTTCCGTCATCAATTATCCTGAACAGTTTTACACTTAAACCAGAGGATTCATCGTTGAATAGATATAGATCTCCTTGTGGGGTTACAAATATAGCATCGGAGTTATCAGATTCACCCACAAAGCTGAAAAAGAAAGGTTGATGTTACGCTCATGATAGTGTTTGGGTGTAAATAGCAATGCGTAGATTCAATATTAAAGGGTTTGCCTCATGGAGATAATCATTAAGAGGCCAACGTGATATAACTGGATTATTGCTGACCCCATCGTTAACAACATTCACTCAGGTTGCTTTCCTGTAAACAGAGGAATAGCGTTTTGGTTGAAGCATTTGAACAATTAAAAGCAACAAATGCCTTTCCATAATCATAATCTTCTAAGAGCAGACTATCATGAACACGTGTTTATGAATTGCTATGAAATAGTGATGAAACCAGGTGTTTGCGAAAAGCTGAGCGTGTCCTGCCCTACAGGTGGCACCCATTACAAATACATGCAAAGGCAAATCAATTATTCACCTGAAAAAACAACAACCCGGGGAACGTATGGCGCAAATCAAAATTGGTTATTGCATCGGATATCCACATATTTATCATAAAACCTTTCAGAAGCTTTACTAAGGCCTTGAACGTTGTAACCCTGATCAAACATCTGTTGAGCAAGAGTGGTGTGACGCTCTTTGAATTCGTCGTAGAAAGAGCATGTTCGATTGTACCTCAAAAGTTGTGAAATGTAGACACCAATAGCTGAAGCTGCTGAAATACTGATCGACAAATAGGTAACGTTAACTGTTGGAAATTTGAAGTCATTCCTCTTGTGGAGAGTGTGTTGTCACTCTGAATGCATAGATCTAAATATGATACAGACGAGGCGGTCTCACTGGTCTTCTTTTTTCCAGTTCCGGTGGGTAAGGGAATTGGCTATTTGATTATTATTGGACATATATCAGATCATCGATATACCTGAAGCCTGTTTTAACTTTGCCAATCCGAGCAGGAATTTCGATTCATATGCATAATAAAAAAAACAGATCCACAAGAAGAGGAGGACAATTGGTGCCCATGGGGATGCCTACTTCTTGCCTAAATGTCTCACACTCAAATTGTACGTAGATGTTATCAAATACACAGAAACTGTTCAATGTATATATGAGTTTTCAACATTCTGTAATATAAAAAAATGTTCGATAATATCAACGAAAATGGCCATGATAGCAGATAAATATCTTTTAACCTCTGTGGATAAAAAATTACCAATACACTTTCAGATTTGACAGATTGTTCATACCAAACATTTCCAAAGATACTTTTGAATAGCATTTTTTTCACATCAGTTACCCAGGTGTTCTTTCTATTCGTATCATATAACATCATCATATTGTAACATTTCTTAGGGTATCTCGATAAATTCATTTTAAGGAGTTTCAGTCAATACATTTTAACCCATAGCTGTGAATATATAAATAGAGGCAATATTCGCCATAAACCATTGCGCTAGATGTGTCGGTGTTTACACCAAGAAACATTTTACATGTATACAAATGAACCTTTTCGATATCATTGAATTGTTTTAAACACCGAAAAAGAAAGTAAAGTAAAGTAAAAATTGGGTTAATAGTAAGATATATTTAAACGTCGCGTCCAAGATTATTGCACTTATATAGCGAGTTTATAGACATCATATGCATTATGACGCCTTAAATACTACTGTTGTGCGTCGCCTAGGACTACAATGTAAGTATAAGTTTTCATTACACCTGAAGAGCCGTTGAACGGCGGAAGATCTTGTGTACATAAAGGAGTTTTGACAGGCACGAATATCTGGACTCTGTTTTTGTGAATATTTAATACTTATACACCTGATGAAATCACATATATTATATATAATGTATATATACTGAACCGCAAAAAAACCCGTCACCCCAAGTAACATTGCATGAAAAGTAGTCATGTAAATACCTGGGTATTTTGTGTCTAAGTTTTTAAATGTAACATTACCTTCGCCGGAAAAATGAAATTTGATGATAAAAAAACAAAGCAGATGACAATAAAACCGATCGCCCAAACGCATCACGGCAACGGCCATCGTAATCCGATGCACGTGAGTTCCGTGCAAATTGAAATGCACATGCGTTCCCCCATTTCTTGCCCTATAAAAATCCACCCAGATCGGATAACATTCATTCGTTATTGAATTGCTACCACATGCCAAGATTGACAAGAAATCGGCGACAGCAAGCCCTTGGACGATTGCAAGCTGGGCATACCGCCCAGCAAGTAGCCAATGCATTTCAAGTCCACGTAAGGACCATATACAGGCTCCAGCAACGCTACCAGACCACCAACACTACAATTGACCGACCATGTAGTGTAAGACCAAGGATCACCACCCGACGTCATGATCGTCAGATTGTGCGACAGTATCTTCCAGATCGCTTTGTTACTGCTGCGGAAACTGCTCGCCAGAACATGGGGACACACCAGCGACCCATTAGTGCGGACACCGTGCGTCGACGATGGACGAGCAGACACCTCCACTGTCACAGGTCACACCGAGGAACCCATCTGACACCACTTCATCGCCGGGACCGTCTTCAGTGGGCAACACAGCACCAGCATTGGCGCCACCAGCAGTGGAGAGACGCTGTGGGAAACTTTATTCGGATGCTTGTGTTGTTGAGAGAGACTTGTGGGGTGGTCCAAGCATCACGTTGTGGGGTGGAATTGGTCTTGCACAGATTGTCGGCCCTGTGGTCTTCCAGAACATCGGTCCAGGGAGAAGCAACAAGAGACTTCCTCCATCAGAATGGTATCAGAACAATGCAGTGGCCTGACCTCAGTCCCGATTTAAATCCCACTGAGCACCTGTGGGACGAGATTCAAAGGCGGCTGAATGACGTCCGACCAAGGCCGACAACTGCAGCTGAACTGCGTCAGGCGTTCCTCAGAGTGTCGGCTCAAGTGGCTATGGCCTTCATCAACCGCCGGGGCGGTCGGGTAGCCTAGTGGTAAAGCGTTCGCTCGTCACGCCGAAGACCCGGGTTCGATTCCCGACATGGGCACAATGTGTGAAGCCCATTTCTGGTGTCCCCGCCGTGATATTGCAGGAATATCGCTAAAAGCGGCACAAAATCATACTCACTCACTCACTCACTCATCAACCGCCTCATTCATTCCATGTATCGACGTTGCACGGCAGTCATCAATGCAAATGGCGGACACACGAGATACTGACTTGTGATGCCATTTTCTAAGAGACTAGTGTTGTGTTTCACTTTTAGAACATTTGACACTATAATTTTAAACTTGATGATCAGTTTTGCCAAGTTTCATCTATTTAATATGTATCAAAGTATGTTTACAAGTGTTTGGACAAATAAGGTTTCTCATATACCTATCCATGGTGACGTTTCTTTTGCGGTTCAGTATATATATATATCAGACAGATGTGACATCGATAAATCGATACTTCGAGTATTGACCCTCATCGAACTTTTAGACTAACTCATAGGCGTATTGATCAACTGTTGAAGTTGTAGTCTGTTTCCTGGGGTCGGTTGGTTCCTCTATGATGTACACACGTTCGGTTCCGCTACGATCTACTATGTAGAGACAGGACTTGCTGGAGTCACCTGGGCACACACCACCCGCCATGTCCTCCCAGTCTCTATTCGTGGCATCCGTAATGGTGACGGAGCCTTTGAAAAGAAAATATATGAACAGTTCTTTTAATTGGCACATTTTCAGATCACCAAATTTCAATTAAACCAACTTAATACGTTTCCTACGTAAACGTATACCTAAAATAAATATCGACATGGCATTGAATATTTCTTTACGGACCAATGAATGGCACACTTAATATTTGTTTCAAAACTAAATATAGTCACTGCAGTTACCCGAAAAGGATGTTTTCTCATGATAACTTGAGTGATTGCTTAACGACACATTATATGATATTCAAACGCCCTGTAAATAATTGGCTCAGTCAAGCGAGTGACTGAATGCATGGGTGAGTGAGTGAGTGAGTGAGTGAGTTTGGGTTAACGCCGCTTTTAACAGTATTCCAGTTATACCACGGCGTGTCAGCTTAATGTGGGAGGAAAGCCTGAAGTGATGCAGGTCTCAGACGTTTACCACTTCGGTGAAACCCACGACCACGGGTATGGTGCTGACAAACCTAGAAACATAATCGGGGCGAACCGGGATTCGAACCCACAACCATAGGTTTCTGGCATGCCCAAGGGACGCAACTCTGCACAGCGAATCGCGGCGCCTTAGACGACTGGGCCACCCGTGCCCCCCTGAATGCATGGGCGTACATTCACATCGTCGGACACGTTGAAAGCAATCTGCAACTTAACTAACTGCAAAATCGTAGCTATGTACTGTTCCGACTTTACAGTCTGCCATTGTAATACATAGCTACCAGTCCTTCCTGAATGAACGTTCTCATCAGGTCTGAATCTGATATTGCACTGTGGTGGTAGAATCGGTTTTTTTATCACCCAAAACTGGCTCACACAGGAGATATCGCTTGGTTGAGATTCTCCAGCTCCTTTTGTGACCAACTATTTCAGTTGAATATGTATATCAATGATCAGTGACGTTATCTCACGGTCGCTGTATTCTTCAATTAACCGCAACAGAGGCAAACAATGATTAATTTACTTTTTTTAATAAGTGAAAAGATATAACCAACCTCCTTAAAGTATGAAATTAACTGAATTTTGTAAAGTCTATGATGAGGAGAGTGGAAACTCTTTGCAAATGATAAAGTCAGTAACTTGTTGAATGTCACAAAGGATAAAGGTAAAAGTCATTAGATATAAGATGCCCACAAACGTATGCAATTTCTCAAAATCCAATCGTATCATATAACTTCTTCAGAATTGGGTTTTACTGTGAAAACGATCAAGATCTCTATTCAGGTTAATATAAAGCATTAATGTGGACATTCAGCAACATCTGCAGATGGTGCGTATTTGAAATTCAGGAATAACGTATTGAGAGGCAAACCTATGCATGACGTCATGGGTAAAAAAAGATTCAGGCCACAACCTTTGTTATTTTGCAAAGAAGCAATTAGACGTTCGACCAAGGACCATTTCTAAAGGTTGAAGTGGAATATTGGGAAAAGGAACACTCTTTCTGGAACCAGTGCCCTCAACCACCAGACTCCGGTTCTCCATCGACACAGGGTCGCAACCCATGGACTACAGGAGGCCCAAGTCGGTCACCCTTGATTACCCTTTCTACTTCGGGAGCGAAGCTGGCTCGCTTAGCTAACAGACTTGACCCTTGTGTGGACAGTGAGTGAGTGAGTGAGTGAGTGAGGGAGGGAGGGAGGGAGGGAGGGAGGGAGGTTTTACGCTGCTTTTAGCAATATTCCACCAATATCACGGCGGGAATAATGTTAAAATTACAAGTGCCAGCGCATGACATGCTTATAAACAAAAGTGCCAATCTTGGAGGAACTATGTCTCCAAAATTAATTCACGCACACCCATATCCTAGGTGTGGAACGCAGTTGAAATAATATAAGGCAAAGGTTCACAATCGTCTGTACACCATCTTTAAGATGATGATAAATTAAGAACGGTTAAAACTGACAAGGCAAATAAACTTGGCGAAACTCTTGCCTAAAATTCTTCAGCATCAGGTTATGTTCCTAAGTGTCCGAGATATCAGATACAACAAGAACAGAAAAAAGTTTATTTTGATTCTAATAATGGTGAAGATTACAATGAAGCACTTTCATTGCATGAGCTACATATTACTCCTGGGCATGTTCGTGATACTGCAGCAGAGGATGATAATATCTAGTATAAGTTATTGAAACATTTGCCTGAATAATTTCTTGCGACATTTTTAGATATTTTGACCAAATATGGACTTCAGGAACGTTTCCTCCCTCGTGGCATAATTCCATTGTAGTCCCTATACCAAAACCTGGTCGGGATCATACAGATCCCTACAATGACCGTCCTATCTCTTTAACCAGTTGTGTTTGCCAAACCATGGAACAAATGATAAATAATAGATTACTTTGGAAACCAATAATTTTATTACAAATATTCAATGCAAAAATAGTATTGATCATTTACTACGATTTTAATCCTGTGTCAAAAATGCTATCGTTAGTAACAACACTTAATATGAGTTTTCAAGCATACTACCTGGAAGGGTGTAATTGTAAAGGTTTTACATGATGTTGGTTTTAGAGGTGTGTAGTTTTAACAGAGAGGCAATTTCATGCCCGTGTGGGTTCCACCATGCCTGATCATTATAACCTGGATCAGGTTGTCCAGCAAGGCAGTATTTTTTCCGTCACTTTATTCATTTTACAAATAAATACTCTTTTAAAGGTTTTTAGTTATTCAGTTGATGGTTCACTTTTTCGTGGATGATTTAAATATTTCTTGATGTTAAAAAATGCATATAATAGAGAGCAAGTTGCAAATCTAGACCTAGAACTATTATTGAATGACACCCCTTGGGGACTTATCTTCGATAGCTATGTAACCTTTTAACTGCAGTTTAAATAACTTAAAGCTAAATGCCTGAAGGCTTTTCATTTGTTGAAAGTTGTTTCAAATTCAAAATGGGGAGGGGATCTGAAGACCTTCTTGCAGTTGTACAGGTAACCGGTCCGCTGTAAACTTGATTACACCTACATCGTCTATGGTGGAGCCTGTAAAAGTATTTCACAAAAACTAGATACTGTCCATCATCTCGGGCTGAGGCTTTGCTTAAGCGTTGGAGCTTTCAGAACATCTCCCATTAATAATCTGTATGTGGAGTCCCTTAAGCAACACTGTCTAAAATTGTCCGAACAATATATTACAAAACTATTTTCAAATCAATCCAATTCAACTTTTGACTGTGTTTCGGCAGCAAATCTAGGCAGGTTATTCTCTAACGTTGACTATTTATATTTAACCCTCATAGTGAAGAACACTAACAATAAAAATTCATCTCTTATTCCACCTCTTGGAATAAGAATACAATCATATATTTCTGCTGCTAAAATATATCTAGCCCCATCTCAGCTTTTGTCTTCACCACCAGGACAGGTAGTAAAACCAGAGGTGGACCTAGCCTTAACTAAATTATAGAAACAAGTCAACTAATTTATCAACACGAATGTAATCAATTAAGACCCTTATACAGTACCTACAAATCTATATTTACAGATGGATCCAAGAATGGTGACGCTGTTGCTAGCGCCACTGCCATACGGTCCAGGACTATATCACAACGACTCTTCTGCCAGTGGCATGTTAATCCATTATCAATCAAAGTATATATGATGATTTTGTGTCTATTTAAAATCGGTAGCATAACGTACATCCACAAAGTGATGGCATACATCTTGCTGGGGAATCATGCAGGAAATCACACTAGAATCTAGATACAGTAACTTCCTCACCACTGCTTACATTAAATAAAACCACATTCCAGACAACTAATCATTGTCCAAATACAAAGTAATGAGCTTCTACTGAATCTGAACAGGAACACTGTATACAACAAATTACACTGCCATATAGCACTATGATCATCAAGTTTACTGGCAAATGCCCAATGGATGAAAGAATGAAGTTGAGCCTTATGTTTGTCGTCTGGGATAGTGGGGTACAAAGTGGAAAAATAAAATGTTTTGACTTAATTTAAAATGGTTCTTTTCTGATATTACAAGAGCTTTTGAGAAACCACATGACATTATCAAGGTCTAGTGTGGAGCGTCCGCCCGGAGAGGGTTCCAAAAACCGTCAAAAGAGGGGACTTGTTGCTCCGCTGGCGCTTGACATTAAGGGGCTAAAACAAGGACTGGTTGGCTTGGAGTCAGTATACTGTGTCCGAGTGGGGTATTCATGTTAAACTGCCGCATGGTATCTAAGTGAGCGAGCACTGTGACATTGGCATCAGTCCGGACTAGTACAAGCAGCCCCTCCACCACCGACACACCCACACGCGATATAGAAGTGCGATGCATATGTAAAGAGAGTTTAGACAAAACACCCTCAAGGCACAACTACATGAAAGTTTGTACAGCTGTAAATGTGCGAACATGTCATAATATAAATAGCGGTGGCGGTTAATTTTAGTGAACGACCTTTTAATAAGATTTGGTGGCCTGGGATGTTTGTTACAGACCGACATAGAAATTTCGTTCGATGATTTAGGGCGAAGACGGACAATGTTGTAATTGGATACAGCATAGCGAGCATGATCAGCGACCTAATCCTATAACTTTATAAAGCCTGAGACCAAATTGTTTTGTGCAAAACTCCAGAATATCAAATGATCTATCCCTTAGTAGAAATACTTACCAACAATATCAGCAGTAGAGGTGTCGACACAGAAGACTACCGGTTCATTGGATCCATCGCCGTCAGACACAAAGTAGAGAATACCCTCGTGTATTGCGCTGGAAGCAATTCCGGCGGGGCTTATGTCCCCAAAAGGAGGATTTGTTATAAGGCCAACTTGCTTGGGTACATCAAATCCAAGGACGCCTGAAATAAACTGAGAAACTAGAAAACATATTAAGACATAATCCCCAACAGGACGACTTATTTCAATAACTACAGAGCTGCTTCACTTTGTAAGGAAGACATGCCCAGGAATATGTTTGGTAAAGCATATGTATGTTCTGTTTCATGAACTAGGGTTTGTAATGGCCACTCTAATCCTGACCTAATAGGCCATTCATTGTGACCGTGGCATTTATGGTACTTTCTGAAAAGTGAGGACCTCGGTTTCTATTGGTCTGATGTTTTAGGTCCCAGGTTCATGCTGATCTGCAATGATCGTGTCTGTTACTGGCAAACCAGTTTGTAATGGAGCTAATGTATAATACCGTCACGTCGAAGACCCGGGTTCTATTTCCGACATGGGTACAATGTGTGAATCCCATTTCTGGTGTCCCCCGCCGTGATATTGCTGGAATATTGCTAAAATCGGCGTAAAACCACACTCACTCACTGTTGATCAAAACTAATGCTGTATCCATTTCGCCGAATCGCACGTTTTATTCAAGTGTGTAACTGAGAAAAATATATTCTTCAAGACAAATACTGACACGCAATGAAAAGTTCGAAGCATTTTTTAATCCACCTTGACTCCCATTAACAACGTTGTGTTGCAACTAATTGCACTCCCATTAATTTTACATTGTGATGAATGACGAATTAATGTGCATGTAATCCAAGGTACTCTCTGAATCGACGTGTGGTTAGTTCAAGTATATTATTCCTTTTCAATTGTTCTGGAGAATAAGTTGTTCACGAAATCAAATAAACATTACAGATGTTGTGGACATAGTTACCTTTATAACTCCTCCGGTACAAGTTGGTACCTAGAAATAAAGAACATATACATTCATGTATACAGTCACAGTTTGAAAAGGGTTGTCACATAGCGCAAGGAAGAAGCTCCTTAAGATCCATGGGTATATCTGTCAAACGAGTTTACAGGCGAGCAAGCACTCATGTCGTGATGCAATCTCATTAAAATCAGATTTAGTTTTCGCTACCGCTAAACAAAGATCTGAGGACATCCCATTACGGGTCACGTCAGAACGACCTTTCGCGAATTTTGACCGACCAATGAAATGACTGACAAGAAATCGACATGAGCCAATCAGAAGGCAGCTTTCTCGAACTTTACGACACTAGTTTCAAACTGGCGACTACTCTTCGAAACATATTTTGACGTATTCTCGATTAAAAATTTAAAGCTGATAAGAATAACATTCTGGAATGGCTTATAAATGGCCTAAATTGTAATGGATATAATCATAAAACCCGTAACTGTCGTTCGGAATACCCCATGTTAAATATTATTTGGTTGCATGATTTGAAAAGACATTCCGACTGTTACTTTCATGATCTGGTAAGCGACGCTCTGATTGGTTAGATGAAAGGTCGTTCTGACGTGACCCGTAATGGGATGTCCTCAGATCTTTGCTTAGAGATAGCGAGAACTAAGATCTGATTTTAATGAGATTGGTCGTTACATACCCATTCCTGTTCAATGTCTTGGTTATATACAATTAGAAAGTTCTAAGATTAACAGAAATACTACATGTTGTAGTATGCATACTTTTATAAATATTTGTTTAATATATTTTAAAGCATCAACATTTTTTGAGGTACAGGAAAGTCCGACTTTGGAAAGAACACTGAGAACTAGTGGATGGGTTAATATTTGATGTCGCATCAGCAATATCTCAGCCACATGAGGACATCCCATTACGGGTCACGTCAGAACGACCTTTCATCTAACCAATCAGAGCGTCGGCGGTGATAAAATCAATCAATAAACGATGTAAACGAATCATGTGTTGCACGGTATATCAAATATTTTAGTTTAGGGAAACTGCACCAAATGTCAAACGCTGAAGGCTGTAAAAAGGTTAAAGCTGCGACAAATAGCATTGACATAATGAAAGGCTTAACACACAAAAAGACCTACTCTCCTCGTATTTGAGTTGTTTCCAGAGAAGATCAATAGCCCGAAATGAAGCAACAAATTTAATTTCCCTTTAATCTTTATATAAACACCTGCACCAAACAGCCATGTCAACCAATATTAAATGACAAAACATCAGGGAAACAGCTCTCTGATAAAAATTAACGCATCGCTTAAATAAACGCCGAAGCAAAAGATCTTCTGTAACAAATACACGCACGATGACTCAAGGAGAGGCTGTCTGAACAACCACTGCATCGCCTTTATGTTTATGCAGTGTGTTGAGAAGTTCAGCAACCCTGAAGAATCCTTCGCTTGGATGAAGTCGGCTGGCCTAAAATGTCACTTTCCACTCGAAACCGTCAATGTGTGAATTTGCATCAAAATGTAAATTTGAAATGTAGATTATGTAAGAATTTAATGACACTGTCCAACACATTGTCAGTGAATGCCCAGCTTAGAGCTTCAGGCTAAGCAAAGCCAACAAATCTAATCTTATTCTTTTTGATAAATCCAATGAAATAATTTATATCATTGAATTTTCTTTCCCTTTTGACACTTATGTGATTGACAAAATTCAGGAACAACATGGCAAATATGCGGAACTCGCTTTCGAAATGTCACGCTTGCATCCCAAATTCCCACTTGTCCGACTCCTCATTGTTCTCCCAGAAACACAGCCCTTCTGAAAATCTGGGTAATGCAGAAGGCTTCAGTATTGGGGAGTCTTCACATTCTCCGAGACATTCTTGGGTGGGTTTGACTAGACAGTGCTGAGCTGATGGTCGGCCGAACCAGCTGACTGTGCCAGGACCACCCTCTTTGTCGCATTTGTATTTTAATCTGTACATAATAATACATTCCTTAATGGCTAGCAAAGCACACTAGTTTACACGCGGACTTGCAGAGCATACCAAGTTTCTAAAATCAATATCGACCGGTATATTACTCATGTTAAGGAAACGAAACATGGACTTCTAATGTACATTTAGTTCCTTGCGGCATATACGTCCCTGTCAATATACTCCATGTTTGGAAACACGGGTGGCCGCGACTCGCTGTACACAGTTGCGTCCATTCGGCACGCAAGAAACCTATGATTGTGGGTTCGAATCCCGGTTCGCCCCGATTATGTTTCTAGGTTTGTCAGCACAATACCCGTGCTCGTGGGTTTTACCGAAGTGGTAAACGTCTGAGACCTGCATCACTTCGGCCTTTCCTCCCACATTAAGCTGACACGCCGCGATATAACTGGAATACTGTTAGAAGCGGCGTTAAACCCAACTCACTCACCCACTATTCCATATCTGGAACCGCTATCATCGCGAAACTTTTAACTAAATTATTGAAATAAATCAATGCTGCAAGCGTCTCTATTTCCAAGTAGAATGTTTATATCCATGAAATAATGCGCCTATAAATCATTCGACCCTGCCTCTATCGTCAAAGTGATTGTTGCTGTGGCTTATACGTAAAAATGTTAGAAGATTGAGTCCTGCTAAACCTTTTTGCGCTATTTTCCCCTTAACGGTGAACGAATGTGAAAGTTTGCACGAATCATACCTTCGATAGTGTCTATCAATGTTGTTACAAGTAAATACCTGGCTTGTCTGGTCCAGACTCAATTATTTACAGACCACCGTCATATAGCTGTAATATTGCTGAGTGCGGCGTTTAACAACAAATAATAGAATACAATACAAAATAAAGTTAGCCTTTTCTCTTAGTGGAATCCGTTTCGGCGGATAATCGAGACAGGTTACCTAACGAAATCTAAAAAAAAAGATCGTAAGTCGAATCCAAAATGGCCGCCCCCAAAAGACACTTTTGAACAATTTAAGAGATAGCCTTGGTGTTCTGATATAATTTGCAGAGTGGGAGGGTATATTTTGATTTGTACTTTCAGAGGAGAAGAGTTGGGAAGACATGTCTCTAAAAAACTCAAAATAAACGTATATGGTTGCAAAAGTATACTACCTATGACCTTAATCAAAGAACAAAAATACTGGCAGTTACTGGCTTAAGAGCTGAGAAGCAGGCGGGTAAACTGTAAATGAAATTTAATTTTGAATTATCCGTCCTTAGTTTCGAGACCTATGAGTCGTTTGTGAAGATTATGCTTTTCAGGGACGCTCAATTTCAACCAATCACATGTTTAAATACACTCTTAAAAAAAGAAACGCATAGTTAAAAAATAAGGATATTTATTAAGCGGGTGTAAAAGTGTCTACACAGAATATGCGCGAACACAATCAAATGAAATTAGACACAATTGTCGTCATTGTCAGCATTAATTCAGTTCAGTCATTGCACATGTGTAGCCACATGGGGCGTCATGGTCAGTACCTGGTCACACCACATCCTGCAGGCGTCACTGCTCGACCCCTTCCTTGGCACAGATTACGCAAGTCTTCGGATTTTTTCGTGGGGAATTCTTCGCCATTCCTCCTGTAAGGCGTTGGCGAGTTGTGCCAGTGTGTGGGGAGCAGCTCCCTCTGGCGGTCCAAAGTTGGGAGGAGGTGAGGACGCTGAATTTGGTCGATGTATCGGTTTGCTGTTAGGCTGCCCTGGACAACCACTAACTGTGATCTACCCGTGTAGGATATGGCTCCCCACACTATGACACTCCCTCCACCAAAACGGTCCACCTGTCGAACGCAGTTCGGCGCAAAACGTTCATGTCGACGTCGGTATACACGTTGTCTTCCATCCCGTCGTTGAAGAAGAAAACGTGGACAGTGTCTCTACTCTTGTTTCCAACACTTTGCACGTTGGTGAAAATTGGTCTGCATTGTGCTGAAAACTTTTTCTGTAAGCAATTTCCGTGCATCCTTTGCATTTTTGCTGATAAACGTTTACAAAACACATTTTGAGATGTGTTTGCGCGCAATGCACAACAAACATGACATGATTAACGGGAATCAAACATAAGAATTGTCTTTATGACGATTGCTGGGGGAAAAAATCTAATTGGAATTCTCAAAACACCTATGCGTTTCTTTTTTTGAAGAGTGTATTTCTAGCTAAATCATGGTTCACTTAATCAAGTTATGCGAACACAGGGACCTGGATCAGTACAAGAAAATGAACTGTCTTATGAATTACCATAATATCAGACCATAAGCACTTCTTGGATTATCATGAAATGAACGTATTTTGATTCTGAGAGAGAATGAATTTCATATCATTATGCTTCTTTCTCATAGCAATTCGGTCATTGTGTTCTATTTATGCAAACATAAGGCTGCCATCAATATCCATACATAAGTATTAAAAATATAACCACGCTATATTTTAAAATATCTATGAAAAATTGCTATCTAAATGACAAAAATACTTTTGTCACTCACGCCGTTTTCCGACCTCGACCCCGCCCTAAGGATGACTAGTACCAAGTTCCTTTGGCATACAAGAAATATTTCTACACTTTTGCCTCAAACAAACTATTATAAAACGCAGAGGAAGGCCATGGCCCTTGACAGACATGTAAATGTATCAAAAACATTTCCAAGTGCTGATAAATAGAAATTGATGATATCATTGCGCAGAAATGTCAAGCACCGCGTGGATATATAAACGGAGATGTTTTGATGTCAAAATCTGACATATCCCTAAAGCATTCCCCATTCGTATGGGGCTGATTAATAACCAAAAATACTCACCCTGGATTCCCGTCACCAGAGCCAAAAACAATACTAAACGAAACTCTCTCATCCTGACGGTTTCACAACCTGCTCGCAAGTAGGTGGTAATTGCCTAACTATTTGCTTTATTTGTCATTTGGCCACGCCTTCTTATCATGAAGGCCACAATACACGGCACATTTGTTCTTCGGATTTCGTACCTACTCTAGTCGTCCCTGGGGCGTCCTATGTTTTTCAAATGATGTCAATGGTTGAGTAACTTGCTACGTTTCTTTTGGTAAACGCAAATGCTTCAAAATTGATGGGACGCAAATGATTCAATTATTTCTTTCATGTTTTTTTGTTTTGTTCAACGCAACAGAAGCTGAAAACTGAAAAAAGCATAACATCTACTTGACACCAGTGTGTTTGCAACGTAGTAATGTATGTGAGTGAGTGAGTATGGTTTTGCGCCGCTTTTAGCAATATTCCAGCAATATCACGGCAGGGGACACAAGAAATGTGCTTCACACATTGTACCCATGTCGGGAATCGAACCCGGGTCTTCGGCGTGAGGAGCGAACGCTTTAACCACTAGGCTAAACGACCGCCCCGTAATGTATGTATGTGCCTATATGTGGTAACATATCGTGGTCAGAAAATCCTTGTTTTAATATTTTAGAAGATTTCGAAGTTTCAACTTGGTATTACCTTAAGGAGTTTAGTAGATCTACTCAGGCGTTCATCTGTCAATCATGTCCACACATAGACTAATTAAAAACGCTTCATACATTTCCATGTTTGTTCGAAATTGTAAATGGTGAACTCTCCTACTTATTGTTTTCATAAAGTTTAGAATTAACCAGCATTGCCTAGAATTGTTTAGAATTAAACCAGGTACGATGTTTAACCAACACCAACATGATGTTTATATTTAGTGTGGTAGCCAGCAATTCTTAGAACTAAATTTCAGGCGTTTCTACATCAATGATAACAGAAAACTTGTACAGATTAATCGTAATCGACATGATTTATGATTCATATGTATTAATGGTTATGGTATTATTAGGGAAAATATTGTAAAAAGTCGGCACCCTAAATTTAAGACCTTCAGTAAATGTTCAATATCGTACCCCTGCAATATTCCACTGAGTCAAACGGCCCGGTTTCATATGGCTGACTGAAACAAAATGTGAGAAGTCAAATATATTGTCTATAATTACAAGAGATGATAGATCATGTATCAAAGCGAAGTACTTCCTCCTGAGCCTTACGTCATCTGATATGTCGATACGTCCTACTAATGGGGTACAATGGTGCCACACACCGAAGTGTTTTGCTGCAACATTCATGTATGTCCCACTTCGTCGGATGCCAGGTAACAATAGTCTGCAATTAAAAAGAAATCAGGCAACAATAACCAATTGCCTTCAGTTAACATTGATAATGTTACGTCATTTGCATCATGACATGTATCGCATATGTACAAACGTGTAAACGCTGTGTTGAGAACAGCCATTCCTATATTGCAATTTCACAGAAACAGACCGATAAAAAATCACGTCAAAGCATAATTTTGAATTGTTAATAAATTTTTGTAAGTCGCCTTTCCGTATGTTTTAAGAAGCTGTACCATAATATGGAGCAGATAAAGAAATATCTACATGTACCTTAAGTTATTTCCTCTTGACATCGAGTATTTATTGATTGAACGTACTGCGCAAGGCAAAGCAATTAATCCAATAAACACTGGAGTTAAACAATAACCATCCTAAGATCATTCGTGTATTTCGCAGCGTATTAGTTCACCAGAATCGAAGATGTCCTTGTCCGTCGTCCTTGGAGTTTCCGTGCTTGAAATACGTGAATGATGTCCTGCACCAAAATGAAACTGAGATTTGTCGTTAAATTATAGTTTCCTTTTATATACCTATAAGAACCAAATGTGATTAAGGTTATTACGTTTGAGTTAAATAAATCCAAAATATTTTTATAAAACGAACACAATGTAAAGATGATAAGATCATTATGTTATTTGAATATGTAGTACTGCTCTGAGGCGTCTGGCAGCAAACGGGGCGGTCGGGTAGCCTGGTGGTTAAAGCGTTCGCTCGTCACGCCGAAGACCCGGGTTCGATTCCCGACATGGGTACAATGTGTGAAGCCCATTTCTGGTGTCCCCCGCCGTGATATTGCTGGAATATTGCTAAAAGCGGCGTAAAACTATACTCACTCACTCACTCACTCTGGCAGCAAACGCTTACTTGGTTCTGCACATTGTGGCGGGTGCTACCGGTAGGGTAGGACATGCTTGCCCTTTTCGCGAACACCTGGTGTCATCACTGATTTTCAGTGATCAGTTCATATAATTGTCACCGCAGTTTTGTCTTTTGCGGTCGGTGGAATCAGTTTCGTCGGACGACTGTGGCTGGTTGGTCTCTGGCTTTGACGTTTTACATTTACATGGCGTGGAATCTATTATTGTTGATGCTGCTAAATAGTCATAATTGTGGACGTTGGGTTTCATTCTTCACACAAAATAAAAGGTTCAGAGAGCTGAAATGCTGCTGGAATGTGTATCACTATAATGGGTTTCACATTTAATAATAACACTTAGTGTTTTTTAAAACTCAGCTATTAAGCTTAAACTTGAGTTTCTTCTAAGCACGGTTATCTAACAATAGAATTCAGTATTAAACGTATCTGACCTTTGGATTTCCTCCCACACTCATGTGATACTCTGTAATATTCTACCAAGTTATGTTAAACTCCATTCTACCCTACTACAAACATAACAACCGCTGTTTTAAGTGTAAACATCTCTAACTTTGTTTGTTTGTTTGTTGTTTTACGCAGCACTCAGCAATAGTCCAGCTATATGACGGCGGTGTGTAAATAATCGAGTCTGGACCAGACATTCCAGTGATTGATGTCATGAGCATCAATCCACGCAATTGGGATCGATGACATGCTTCAACCAAGTCAGCGAGCCTGACCACCCGATCCCGTTAGTCGCCTCCTACAACAAGCATAGTCGCCTTTTACGGCAAGCATGGGTTGCTGAAGACCTATTCTACCCCCGGGTCTTCACGGGTCAAACATCTTTCAGGATCCCTTCAGGCTTCAGTATACCATACGCGTGATAAGGTCCAAACAGTAATATGTCTTGTTTATTGAATATGATATTAAAACACAATACAGCTGAAATATTGTCGATATGAATTAAATCTTAACTCACTATTAACGCCCTTTTCATTTACGCATTTGGAAAAATGAAAAAGGCCGTTGGTTTCTGTATGATATAAGCATATAATGGTATCATCTTTCATTGTATCAACCTTTCTTCACTGTAAATACTCCCGGGCGTAAGACATAATGTCTTTGTTATCATGATGGATAATGGGAATAACAAACAATGATTTTTCTATTTTGGATGGTCATAAAAACTTTTCATAGGCCATGCGTAAGTGAAGATAAGAAAACTTTAGGATGTTGCTCTTAGGCATATTTGATACTAAACGTCGACATTATTTTGTCGAATGGTGTTCCTGAAGGTCTTTATCAGTTGCTGAAACAGAGAAGATGATGGGGAGAGAATTTTTGCTTTTTCTCTCAATGCTGTCATTAGTCCAAGGTAAGTCCCCGCAAAACCCGACAGGGACAGACATAATAACAAGTCACGCTGCAGGAACATGGTACTGAGTTCGTAAGAATGGTTTATCTGTCCTGAATGAGTGCTGGTGGTCGTGGTTGTGCAAACATCTATTCTCTATACGTATATCTGATGACATTTAAATAATTGATCCCCATTGCAATTCCGGGATGGAATGGATCCTGGTAACCAATACATACCCAAAGAGTTCTCGAAACTTTATCTGGAGACCAGGCGCTGCTTATGGCTTGTCTGGTAGAGCAAAACAGTTTGCCGTATTATAGTTGGACTATTTCTGACTTCAATTTTTCAATAGTCAACTTCATCTTTATGTCGAGCAATAGTCCTGCAGCTCCAGCCCTCAGTGGCTACATTTCCGACGTGCTCGTTCAAACAAGATTTCAAAGACCACCATAAGACTCTTGCTGTTTGGTCAAGTTTAAAACCTTCAAGGCCATGGCAACGTTTCATGGTAACATGTTGAGGACATTTCCAAATTTGACGCATCAGTGACAAAAATGATGTCCGATGTAATTCGGAATCCCTATTTTGTCTTGTACCATATGAACAATTGCCTTGCCTTTGCATGCGTTTGTGATGGGTGCCACCAGTGGGGCAGGATACGCTCACCTGTTCGCGAACACCTGGTATCATCACTTTTGATAGTGACCAATAAACACTTGGTCGGAATCGTAAAATCGACTCTGATCTTGGCAGAGATTTCTTTTGAATATCGAAAGGATTTTGTCGGTTTTTTAATTGTGAATATTTTATTCATAATAAGCCTTTGCTACAAGCACAACTGTATACAGTATGACTCACTCTGTGACAATGCCTGCAAGAACAGAACTTCTAAACTCATTTTTCATGTTCTCACTTTCTCGCTTTCGGTCTCCTCATGTAAGGCAGAGAACCCCAGTGCTTAAGATGTTGGCTTCTTGTTATTATATTACAAGCATCCTTAAACTGTGCCTTTCACCTAGTTTTCTCTTGAGGTGCAAGTTGTCTACTTTTATGTGCTTTATGTCATCATGACTAGTCTGTTATATAGTTTTGAGTGAGTGAATGAGTGTGAGTGAGTGAGTGAGTGAGTGAGTGAGTGAGTGAGTGAGTGAGTTTGTTTAACGCCTCTTTAAACAATACTCCATTTATATCACGGCGCGTCAGCTCAATGTTGAAGGAAACTGTAAGACGTTTACCACTTTTGGTGAAACCCACGAACACGAGTATCATGCTGACAAGCCTAGAAGCATAATTAGGCGCACCGGGATTCGAACCCACAATAATATGTTTCTGGAAGGTCCAAGATGCGTAACTCTGCACAGCGAATTTCGGCGTCTAAGACGACTGGGACACCTGTGTCCCAATATAGTTTTGAACTATTAACCGTAGAGCGGTCACCCTGCATAGCAAACCAGTAATAAACCGCATGATACAATAGAGGAAATAGGTGAACATTATCTCATAGACCTCCTGAACCCTATACCACATGTATATATAGTAATTGTAATTTTGATGTAAAATGTTCACATGTGACTTTTCTTGCTTGTGTAATGATGTCTGTATACTTCCCAGGTATTTCCCCGAGATTGAAGATAAAAGACTATTTCGACCCAACGTATCCAAGTAAGTAAAATGAGTGATGTTTCTAAATCCAAGTTGCAGACGGGAAGAAGGATAATATGAACAAGGTGAAATCTGTGTTGAGATCGTAGTTTGTTTGTTTGTTGTTTAACGCAGCACTCAGCAATATTCCAGCTATATGACGGCGGTCTGTAAATATTCGAGTCTGGACCAGGCAATCCAGTGATTAAAATCATGAGCATCGATCCACGCAATTGGGATCGATGACATGCATCAACCAGGTCAGCGAGCCTGACCACCCGATCCCGTTAGTCGCCTGTTACGACAAGCATAGTCACCTTTTACGTCAAGCATAGTCGCCTTTTACGTTAAGCATGGGTTGCTGAAGACCTATTCTACTCCGGATCGTCACGGGTCTTGAGATCGTAGTATACTGTAGCACCTATTGACTGACAAGCATATAAAAGAAATAAGATGTTGGCTTAGTCGGAGACCACCATCATCTGCTTACAATTGCACTTATACCGGTTGCTTTTGCATTGGTAATTAAATACGCTGACAATAAAACACATACTTGGTGGTGGTGTTTTGTAATTCATAAAGTGCTATATTCTCTCACATTTGGATTTCGCGGGGATTCCGCTGAAAGCTTAACGCATACTTGGTGTTTTCGGTTGTTGTAATTCCTAAAATGTTCTCCTATTCTCTGACGGTTGTTTCGTGGAGATTAGGTGTTGGAATCGGTCCCCTACGCCTACGCTTGTCGTGCCAGGCATCCAAATGGATCGGGCGGTCAGACACGGTGACTTGATAATGTGTCAATGTACATCGACGACGTGGGCGTTACCGTTTTGTGGAATCTGTCCAAACTCGATCAATAACGGCCATCGTGATATATCTGGAATATTGCCTAATACGGTGTTAAACCACAAACTTAACCCATCCCTCTTGAAATGGGATGTAAATATTATAAGCAGGAAAAGCGACGTAAGGCATATTCAAATGCGATAGATCACAGCAACTGACGACATTTTTTGTCTGAAGGTTTGAAGTGTTGTTACACGATATTTTGAATGTAAATATGCCATCATAGTATTTATTCACGGATCATCACCATATCTGCTATTTTAGTACTGGGTGGATGTGCTGTGTCTTGTCTTTAATTGTAAGATTAGTTGACAAGTTGCAAACAACAAAGATGCCACGCCTCTACGTCATAAACCTATGGAAACAAACGGTGACCAGAATTGAAGAACGGTGAAAAATTCAAGTCTCGTGGCATAAGCCTAACATGATTATTTATAAGTAAATCTTTTCCATTTCATAAACATTCACACACTTGATATATTGTTACATGTGACCATTGTTTTGATTTTACAGTAGTTACACTCGACAGTCTACATGTCGATCCGACGATTATGCTTGTCGTAAGAGGCGACTAACGGGATCGGGTGGTCAGGCTCGCTGACTTGGTTGATGCATGTCATCGATCCCAATTGCCATGCTCATGGTGTCAGTCACTGGATTGTCTGGTTCAGACTCGATTATTTACAGACCGCCGTCATATAACTGGAATATTGCTGAGTCTGGCGTTAAACAACAAACAAACAAAAACATGTGGATCCATAAATGCATGGCTGCCGATAACCCATCAGAACTGCATACGTTGTCCTTAACCCTGATTGGGCTGATTGGACTCTTAACGAAGGCAAATCGTTTGCATACAGATGATAATGTTCATAAAACATATTGGGACGGTTACGGTGATTCACTCATTGAAACAAACGATAAAAAATGTAAATTAAAACATAAGAATATTTAAAAAACAAACTTTATTCATGACGTTTGATTGTTAACAAACATTTTTGTGACCGATAGTTATCAGCATCTCCGTCAACCGATAACGCTAGGATTTGGCAGAAGGGAATTTGAAAGTGAACGTCATTCTTCTCGTGTCCAGGTCGAGTGTGTTTGGTGGGAGTTTGGCACACAGTGATGTCCAAAATATACTGCGTTGATATTCATGATTCAAATCAGACGAAACCAAGCATATTTCCTCTTTAAAAAGATGGGACACTCGGAAATAACTTAAAATTTCCACAATTGTAATAGAATTTTTTTTCTAGTAATAGTTGTATGATACTGATTTACGCACACATTACAACCGGAAGAGAAATATGACAGTATATGTTATGATCGCCAACGATCCTGAAGGACAATATGGGTAAGATGGAAAATGTCGACGTTTTTGGATCCGTGGTGTGTAATAGCGCCACGATTTGTCAAACATTCATTCACTCGACGAGGCAGCCTGTGTCTGAGACTCCCAATGGCGATCTTGGGAGAGTCACTCATCCACTCATCCTGCAGCGCCTGACCAAGTTCAGCCCACGTGGTTGGGTCCTGTGACGTTGATGTAAACGGCTCCCTATCATGTCTCAGAGGTGAGACCCGTGAAGATCCGGAGTAGAATAGGTCTTCAGCAACCCATGCTTGTCGTAAAAGGCGACTAACGGGATCGGGTGGTCAGGCTCGGCGACTTGGTTGATGCATGTCATCAATCCCAATTGCGTGGATCGATGCTTATGATGTCAGTCACTGGATTGTCTGGTCCAGACTCAATTATTTACAGACCGCCGTCATATAGCTGGAATATTGCTGAGTGTGGCGTTAAACAACCAAACAACCAACCAACCAACCCAGAGGTGTTAAAGGGGAAATACGTCTGGGCTCATTGCTGGTCATGGAATACTATGTATATTGTTGCTGCTGGTGGTGCCCGATTCGAACACGGGCGTTGTCGTCCTGAAATACCAAACGTCGACCCACACGCTAAACGGGACAACAAAGGGTGTCAGTTTGTTGCCCCGATAGTACTGTCCAGTGACCCTTCCTTGCACAATATGGAGTAGGGTTCGGTCAGTCACAACCTTGGACCAAAATTCTGTACGGCATTATGGAAAACGAATGTTGACCTATTTCCAGTAAACGTATTGCTAGGTAATCCCACTTAATGGTTTGGCATTGTGACAAGTGCCACGGGAGGGGCAGGATACGCTCACCTTTACTCGAACACCTGGTATCATCGCTATTTGATGGTGATTCATGTTCGGAGTTGTACGATCGATATAGAATAGGGTTGGTCGTTTTTGTTTGGTTAAGAGAACTTGAAATGCATACATTAAGATCATTGTCAAGTTAGGGAATGAGTGCTGTGGCCATCGAACCCCACACTGATATGACCATGATGAGATGTCAAACAACAGACCGCCTCCGTGGTCTAGTGGTAGAGCGTCCGCCCGGAGAGCGGAAGGTCCGGGGTTCGATCCCCGACCGCGTCATACCAAAAGACGTTAAAAGATGGTACTTGTTGTTACCCTGTCTGGTGCTCGGCATTAAGGGGCTAAAACAAGGACTTGTCGCCTCGTAGTCAGTATACTGTGTCTGAGTTGGGTATTCATGTTAAACTGCGGCATGGTATCTCAGTGAGCTAGCACTATAAATCGGCATCAGTCCGGACTAGTACAAACAACCACACAAACACACACACGTAATTGCACGTCGCTATATAAGTGCAATAATCTTGGACGCGACGTTAAACCCCATTTCACCTCACCTCACCTCAAACAACAAGGATATGTTTTTTTCTGAAGTCTAACCTTTCTTCCTGTAGGGTTCGGTTTGCTAAAGCAGATTGCTACAGTAGACGTCGACGCGGCAGTCGGCGGAGCATTCGAAGTCACCGGTATCGCTGCAAGTAGACTCCATGACAATGTTCTCTACTACATCGGCCGTAACATTAACGTGGTTCTGGCTGCTGACAGCACGACGGGCACCATTTTAGCCAAGTTCACTCTCACCGATGCTGTCAATGATGACTGGGAAGGTATTGCCGTAGGACCCTGCGACGAGGGGAGTACAGACACATGCGTCTACGTTCAGGACGCAGGGGTGGGAGGAGATACCAGTCAGACCGAAGTGTACAAGTTCAGGGAGCCCACTGATGTTACGACTGATGCCTCTTTCACATCTGATCTCACCATCCAGTACTCGTAAGTTACTAAGTCATTACACAAATATATATTTTACAGTACATCTCAGTACAAACTAATTATGTTAGGGGCATAAACATTTTAGGTACATATACTGACACAATGATTGGTTGGTGTGTTGTTTTACGCCGCTCTCAGCTATATTCCAGCTATATATGACGGCGGTCTGTAAATAATCGAGTCTGGACCAGACAATCCAGTAATTAATATCATGAGCATCGATCCACGCTTTTGGGATTGATGACATGCTTCAACCAAGTCAGTGAGCCTGACCACCCGATCCCGTTAGTCGCCTCTTACGACAAGCATAGTCGCCTTTTACGGTAAGCATGGGATGCTGAAGACCTATTCTACCCCGGATCGTCACGGGTCCACTGACACAATAAAAACGAATGATCAACTTTAACTCGGAATGTATGAAACGAAAACGATTTTAGCTGTAAATATGTATTCGCATGACAAAGAATGATGACAGAATTAGTGCACAGGAGGCACTGGACGATGGCAATTCCAGCAGAAAAATGCAGGAGTTTTATAACCCAAGATCAATAGGTCTGTATCTGAAGTCACAAAGATGGGTTGTTCCTTTATTCATGAATCTGGACGGAACGTCATGGACTTGACGTTGACGTCAGCGCTTACGCTGTCCTAGCTCCTCCAACATGTGTTCTGTCGGATTTAGATCAGGGGAAAATAAGGGCCATGCCATCACATTAATGCCGGCCTATTGAAGGAATTGCAGTGTATCGGGGAACGTTATGACTACATTGTCCACATTACGTTGTGCAAGTTGCCGTTCATGACAACGCGATCACTCCTTGAAATGTACATTAATTACGCCTCAAACCTTCTCCAATACGGCCACGGTACGAACACAAGCGTCAACAAGTCTCAAGTGTCGTCTTCTGTGTATGCGTTCTGTTCCATCCATCAACCCAGAAGCTAAAAACGATCCTTCCAAAGAATTGCATTTGTCTGCGGCCATACTGATGACAAAACTAAATTCTCTGCAACCAATGGTGATGACGCATGATGTTACCCTGATAAAGTCGACGGCGACCTGGTCCACAAGGTCAGGTCAGGTCAGGTCAGGTCAGGTTTTCCCGAAGGTGGTTTGGGTTACATTGTAAAAGCCAAAAGATCTAAAACATGGACATAATAGTTGGATCAATATTTAAATGTTTTATTTATCTTCTAGCGTTGACCTCAGAATCTAGGAGACACTAATTCTGACACATGACCAAGAGACGCGCGGGTTCCGTTCACTGTGACTGTGGTCGGTTTACAAAGAAATCAGCCACCCATTTAATTAGGTTGGAGTTTACGCTGACATTTTGAAGTTTTTGACTCAGCAGATGAGGCTGAATGGTATTAAATGCCGAGGAAAAAATAAACAAAAACTAGGACTCCTAAATGTGTCAGGATATTATGTTACAGTTAGTGTTGCATCTTCGACACTGTCAAATGACATAGCCTGGTCTTTCATGGACGCTACCTGTTTTCCGATAACGTGTCAAAAGTCGAGCAATGGTCATTTGATACACTGTAAATGGGTGTAACATCTGTCTGCGTGAAACCAGCCAGTGAGATTACTCTCTTCTAAGCGGGGCATGTTTATGAAGCGGGGCATGTTTATGACGTGTGGTGTTAACCTTGCTATTTATGTATCCACATTCAAGGCACGACGTGCAAAACGAGACGTATGAAATGTCACGTTCTTCATCACGTATAACATCGGATGAGATTCGAACCCGAACGACTATAGTGCTGTGTTTTTTATCTCAAGCCCAAATACCCCAAACACATTAATTAGACATTTGTGGCAATTTTGCCAAATATAATTACAAAATATAATCGAATATGCGTTGCCAAATTGTGTCAGTATAGTTTAATGACTTGGTTGATGCATGTCATCGAACCCAATTGCGTGGATTGATGTTCATGATATTAATCACTGGATTGTCTGGTCCAGACTCGATTATTTACAGAACGCCGTCATATAACTGGCACATTGCTAATTGTGGCGTAAACAACAAACAAACAAACAGTATAGTTTCGAAATCGCTGAATATTTATTGGAACCCAAAACAGCCAATGTAATATTAATTGGACTGTAGCGTATTTGCAGATATGTTGCGTTTATTAAATCACAACACGCAATATAGTCAAACTTTTAATTTTGCTAAAATAACACGGTCCTGTGCATTATCTGTTCAAAAGTCAATTTATGACTTGCTTTAAACCCCTTTTTTAAGACAATATGATCTCTGCATGTCAATATCTGGACCAGCCAAACCAATGATATGAATTATGAGTACGCCTTTCTGGTACGACACGCAACCAATCAAGGTATCACGCCAGACTACCCGCTCCATATTGCTGCACATTACGAAGTGCATTGGTTGGAGGGGACCTGTTCTAATCCCTAATCACCACATGGTACCATACATTGTGCCCGCAATGGTGTTGCTTCATTTATAAATGTTGAAGTGTCTCAAGTGATGGTTCTCTGTCAGCGAAAGAATGAAAAATAAAGCGAAGAATTTCATTGCCGTTTATAACTGACTTAAAACCCCACGTGCACGGGTATGAGTCAACCACACAAAGGATCAGAATATTGGTTTCGAACTTGCCATCAGTGCATCTTCGCAGCTAAAGGACGCAGCTCGGAACAGTACCAAATTGTTCCTAATAAACCGTTGCAAATGTTCATTTGTTTGGCGTTACAATCCTTTTCCGGTTCTTTGCTACACTAAGCTGATTCGTATTTTTATTGACTGGTTTGTAATGCGTATTGTTTCTGAAGTTTTATTCTCGCAACTCATTTTAATGGTTTAAACATTTTCTTTTAGATCGCCAAAATCGCGTGGGTCGTCAGCAATTATTGTAAACAGTCATGCAGAGATATTCTTCTTCTCCTCCGGCTCTCCTCCCGGTTCGTCGGAGTTGAGAAAACTGGTGATGGACGGTGATTCAGTCACAACAAAGAAGCTGAAGCAGTTCCATGTTCCATCCATTGCCTTTGGTCAAACGGTCATTCTGGCTGCAGACATTTCATGTGACGACTCAAAGATTCTTATTCAAACGGTTGACCACATATATCTTTTCCGCATAAACGGTACTGATTTCGACAGCCTAGACTGCCCTATTCCCCTTCCGTTCATCGCTGGCAACCAAGTCCGCGGAATCACGTGGATTCCAAATGGAGAAGGTTTCTATGTGTCACTCCAAGAGAGCCCATCACCTTTAATGCTTAGTATGATGTGGACACGTGTTCCAGGTAGGACCTAAGTTCCACGACTGCCATTGGTGTATGTTAAGGTGTGACACTTATAATTGCGACCATCAGCAAAACAGGCCCACCAATAAAAACCAGAAGAGAACAACCAAACTATGGAACACAATTTGAATAGACATAGCCACACACATTCTAAACAGGACACAAGCTCCATAATGTGTGCATACCTTCAACGGAGACCGCGACAAACCGAACGCGTGCGGTCTGCTAATTTAGTGTGTTTGTTTCCAATTGCAGGTTTTAATCATTACGATGCACACTTTATGGGGATTGTGTTTTGTTTGGAATTTGTGTGGCTATTTCTATTCAAAGTATGTACATATTCCATAGTTTGGTTGCTCTCAGCTGGTTTCCATTGGTAGACCTGCAAAAGCTTAAAGATAATGAACGCATGGTGTATATTTTGCCATACTCGATCTTAGTAATGGTATTTATACACAACAAATATAATGATACTTTACATATTACAAATTGGCTTCAATTCTAATTAACATAATCTTTTGTCAACGCAACGATCACAACTATCTGTACACACAGCAAATATATACTCTTTTAGAAATGGAATTCATAATACCATCGCATGTTAATGCGAATAATCCTTCCAGAGCCAATTTCATGCTAATCAAGAGTTGAGTTTATTCCTTTGCTAATGTATATTTAAATACTAGTATAATGATACACATAAATGTAATTATTACAAGAAATATACCCCTGTTTGGCCATTGCAAAGGTGAAAAACATTTTTCTAAAAATAGAACATATTCCATGAGGTTTACAGGACGAATGTTGAAACTACTCTTACCACTCAAATTGTAATATGTTTTAACAAAGATACGTACGTACTCGTCTCCCTGGATGTTTATGTTGTTTGAGAAACTTTGTAACAACCTGAAAAAAATAGTAGAAAACGTGCATAGGAGACCTTTAGAAAGTCATACGTTGCCCCCAGCACAATATTCCCCCAGTTCCTCCCGATGGCATTTTCAAATTGCCGCCATTATTTTATAATATGATATGGAATTTTCTAGTTTTATATTCAAGAAATCATGCAAAACATCAAATGAAAGCTCTTCGTATGATCTTTCCAAAAAAACTGGCTTATTAGCATTTAAGAAACAATTTTTTATAATTTTATTTAGTTTTACTGTAAGGTTGGTTTGAAACCTTTATTACTCACTGCTTTACATCTTAACTATAATTTGCATTTTTATCCACCTCCACAAAGTGGGTCGGGGGATATAGGAAAGGAGTCCGTCCGTCAGCTTCTCAAATGGGACAAATCTTATACATTGATGAAGATGGTCATGATCTTAAATGAAGTCGAAAATTGGTGAATTAAATTCCTTTTTTACAAGGTTATTGTCCTTGCTCCATGCTTTTAAACTTTTCTGCTGCACATAGTATGTGCAATGGGGACACGTTTGCTTAGAACCTACTGTAGTTACATGAAGGAAAGTTTGCATGCTTAACTAAACTAAACCTGTCCAGGCAACTGAACAAGATTTAAAGCGATTGCTGGAGATCTCTAGATGTATTGCATGTGATGAATAACAGACAGCACAATCGCCAAGTGGGTGCATGCCATGCCCCGATGCATTCCAATATGTGATTCCGTGGAAAAGACCACAGGGAAAGCAAGACTGACTAGTATGTATAACGAGCGGTGTTGTTGCTGGCAAATGTGCTAATGTGCAAGCAATTTCACTTGGTATCCAGTCAGCTACAGCTATGACTAGTCACACATATGCAGATATAAAGTTGAAGAGGAACGTTCGAATGACCAGCATCAGTTGTGAAAAGAACCAGATCACTTTGCGTGGGGTAGAGGTAGAAGTGAACTCAACTGTATTATCCATGAAGGTCACATGTATGGTAAAGGGTATCTCTGAAATGGAATTCCATCTTCTTCACGAGTTTGCCAAACTACCACCCTCCTCATGTCCACGATCCACGATCTTCTTACTCATGCTTCATCCTTGACGATGATTCATGCTTCATCCTTGACAATGGTTCATGCTTCATCCTTGACGATGGTTCATGCTTCATCCTTGACGATGGTTCATGCTTCATCCTTGACGATGGTTCATGATTCATCCTTGACGGTGGTTCATGCTTCATCCTTGACGATGGTTCATGCTTCAACCTTGACGATGGTTCATGATTCATCCTTGACGGTGGTTCATGCTTTATCCTTGACGGTGGTTCATTCTTCATCCTCGACGATGGTTCATGCTTCATCCTTGACGATGGTTCATGCTTCATCCGTGACGATGGTTCATGCTTCATCCTTGACGATGGTTCATTCTTCATCCTTGACGATGGTTCATGCTTCATCCTTGACAATGGTTCATGTTTCATCCTTGACGGTGGTTCATGCTTCATCCTTGACGATGGTTCATGCTTCATCCATGACGGTGGTTCATGCTTCATCCTTGACGATGGTTCATGCTTCATCCATGACGGTGGTTCATGCTTCATCTTTGACGATGGTTCATGCTTCATCCATGACGGTGGTTCATGCTTCATCCTTGACGATGGTTCATGCTTCATCTTTGACGATGGTTCATGCTTCATCCTTGACGGTGGTTCATGCTTCATTCTTGACGATGGTTCATGCTTCATCCTTGACGATGGTTCATGCTTCATCTTTGACGATGGTTCATGCTTCATCCATGACGGTGGTTCATGCTTCATCCTTGACGATGGTTCATGTTTCATCTTTGACGATGGTTCATGCTTCTACCTTGACGGTGGTTCATGCTTCATTCTTGACGATGGTTCATGCTTCATCCTTGACCGTGGCCACCTGCTCCGAAGCTTGCCCTGGCCTGTTGATGCCACCTACGGCCAGTTGTGTGACCACAATGTGTCCTATGTTCGTGATCACTACTGACCAGAGACCCTTGTGGTGTTGGATAATATGACAATACTTCCTCAACAAAAGCTGCTGAACAGTGGGGAAGGGCACAGAAATTGTCTGCTTGTGCCAAACCGATGTTGCTTTTGACATGAAACCACTACATCATGGACGTTATTTCTGGCAAATTTTCAAAAATAAGGATAGACCAATTAAATAACTCAACAAATTTGAAATCGGAGGACTGACTAGCAAGCAAAGCACTGCAGATGGGGACTGGTCAGTAGCACCAACTGCAATGGATACTGTACAAACACAGCACTTGTTGTTGTTTTTGATACAGGCATATATTTGCTGGTACTGGTCACACAAGCCACTCCTAGAACGTATCTCCATATGATGTTTGTACGGAACCCATTACAAAGTGTACAGTATCTCTGAAATCCAGGTACCTTTTCACATCATCAAGCTGCACCTCCTGTTTGTACATGCAATCACTGGATGTGCTATTGTCGCTCTACAATAAAGGGAATTGGCACTGTTTGATGGAACCAACAAATGGGACTGCTTGAATGTCGTCCTTCGATCTGATAGTTCCCACTATGAGATCATACAAGTTGGAGAGATGTTTCTTCTGAAGCTGTATTGAACTGTTGGGTCAAAGTCACTGTTCAAACATCGCTAAAAGATATACTTCAAATCAATACATTGAGCATCGTAATCTTCATCTGGATTTGATTATCTGTAAAATGTATTTTCTTTACATCACTGCGTTATTTTTGAGAAATAAACACTGTTCACCATGGCGGATAGGAGCTTCCGTAGCGGATGGACAGTGGAAAATGTGGACGCTCTTAGTTCCCTTGAAACTGATAACATATCATACAAGATAACTTTGAGCTAGAGGATCAACACGGCGCAAATAGTTTTTACTAAATACCTATTGATGCAAACACATATACTGCCATAAAGCGCACATAAGTAAACCAAAAGATAAAAAATGTAAATTGCATGTTGTACCTTCAGAATTAGGAATGAGAAAATGGCACATTTGAGTTTAGATATTTATGTAATATGAAAGTAGAAGACAAACATATTATGAAAACAATCTAGTGTTATTGTTTCTAAGGAAGAAAAGGTATGAAGGTGACACAATCATTGTGTTATACATGATACAGTTGACATTAATATACATAAAATGGTAAAGTTATTATTATCTGTTCATAATTCATCTCCTCATAGTAATAGCTATAGTAATATTATTTTATAATGTGAGTGAGTTATTATTTAACGTCACATGGGCAATATTTCAGCCATATCGTGACGAGTATTTTATAATGAACTAGATGAGTGGAGACATGGAGATATTGTTAAAACTGAAACCCACAATGCTGTGAGCGCGTTTCTTATATTTGACTATTGACCAGACGACCTCCCAAATTATTACCTCATGAATGGTAATATGTTTTCGCCTGTAGCCTGACACGTCAGTTATTCATACTGTCCAAAAGTGCTAACATCTCGCTACACGGAAACTGGGTCATCATTTCCCGCGTAGCGATATGCTATAGGATTGTCCCCGTCCCCTCTCGACAGACAGATCTTGAACGCGACGTTAAATCCAATTTCACCTAACCTCACCTCGACAGGCAGACCCGCTTCATGGAAACACGTCAACGTTTCACCGCAGTGAAATCCCTGCCCTTCACTCCTTAGCGGCTGCAGGCGAGGAGCGCAAGCGCGCTAGGGCAGATAAACTAGTCTAGGACAGGGTATGCCTCACTCCTATATTGCCAAATAACATAATCATGTTTAGTGTAATAATTTAAAGTTAGGAATGTTTATTTTTATGTATTTCCTATGTACGCATCTCATAGCACATATTCGAGACAAATATATAGTTTATTTTACAAATGTGGTTACATCTTTCCAAATATCACTTATCCCCATGTAACATTCTCGAACCAAAAACAGACATGATCTAGTTTGGAAATTGAAAAAGTTATTTCCTTGAATTGATCTGTATTATACTTTTCAGATGCGAAGTTTACGTTTGGTAGGACTGTTGGTTTGAATGATAATGTATACAGTTCGGGCTTTGCCGCTAGCCGGGACACCCCCGGCCTTCTTTATACAGCCCAAGAAGATTCTACCTTCATCAATGTCATACAAACTCAAAATGCAAAGCGTATTTCCAACCTGAGGATACGTGATGTTTCGACTACTGTGTGGAACGACGTAGCTGTTGGGCGGTGTAATATAGGCTCGACCAACAACTGCGTCTACCTACTTGATGGTGGCGAGGGCTACAACAGGTTCCCAGAGCCAGCTGATGCAAGGCAAATTGACTCAGTGCCGGCCGACGTCTTTACGTTCAGGTAAGATGTACACACGGGTAATTACCATATGACATGACACCTTGTTTGTTTGTTTGTTGTTTAACGCCGCACTCAGCAATATTCCAGCTATATGACCGCGGTCTGTAAAGAATCGAGTCTGGACCAGACAATCCAGTGATTTACATCATGAGCATCGATCCACGTAATTGGGATCGATGACATGTATCAATCAAGTCAGCGAGCCTGACCACCTGATCCCGTTAATCGCCTTTTACGACAAGCATAGTCACCTTTTACGGCAAGTATGGCTTGCTGAAGACCTATTCTACCCCGGAATCTTCATGGGTCCATGACACCTTGACTCACCAATGTCATAACCTCACAACAATTCGTGAGTGCGGGTTCTTCAAATGTCATTTCTATTACCCGGGTCAGGTAAACATTGTCACATTATTATATGTTACGCTTTAATTTGGGTAGGGATGGTGTGGTGTTGGACCTGATACCCTATTTTCTTTGGGTTTATGAAAATGAATAACGATAAGGCGTAGACGGCGTTGAGTCAATGACAGTAAACGAAAGTCATCTTTGAGCGTAGTTCATGATATATAGAAGTGTATTGTATAAGAACTGAATTCTTTTCCGTTTATGTAGGTATAATCGTAAAAACAACGTAGCGGGTTTACGCAAAGTATGCATACCGGTGTCTACGTTGATACATTCATAAACGCAAAAAACATATTTAAGTGCCATCGATATTCTCTGCACAAAATGTGACATTCCAATCAGAAACCGTGTACGTTTTCCGTAAATGTAGAGTAAGCATGTTTAACTTTACAGTTTACCAGGTGGTGTTCCCGCAACTAGCATCATGGTGGACCCCGAGGCCAATGTCTACGTGATCAGCAGCGGGCTCGGCGGTGTACTGTACCGTCTAGATGGCGCATCGGCCGCAAAAACCCCTGTTGCACTAGGAGCGTTTAATTCTTTACACTTACCGTTACCAATAACGTCAGCAGATATATCAGCAGATGGTTCGGAACTACTGGTTAAAACGATCACGAATATACTTCTCTACAAGTGAGTGTTCTATATTTTCAATTGTTGATCGATTTTTGTCGATGGTGTAAGATATTTTGGGAAACCACGTCTATTTACACATGTTTTTAAGGAAATATAAAACCTCAACGCAAGGGAACGACAGTTTCCGTTGAAACAGATTCCATTGGGCGTAAAAGGCAAAACAAAATAGCAGTGAAAGAATGGAACTCATCTTGGTAATATGTTTATATCTTCCCCTTGATCCGCTTAATGTTAGTCGACCGCCTCCGTGGTCTAGTGGTAGAGCGTCCGCCCGGAGAGCGGAAGGTCCGGGGTTCGATCCCCGGCCGCGTCATGCCAAAAGACGTTAAAAGATGGTACTTGTTGTTACCCTGTCTGGCGCTCGGCATTAAGGGGCTTAAACAAGAACTGGTTAGCTCGGAGTCAGTATACTGTGTCTGAGTGGGGTATTCATGTTAAACTGCGGCGTGGTATTTCAGTGTGCTAGCACTATAAATCGGCATCAGTCCGGACTAGTACAAGCAGCCACACACACACACATACACGTGCATGCACGTCGCTACATAAGTTCAATAATACTGGACGCGACGTTAAACCCAATTTCACCTCGCCTCACCTTGACATTGAGATACACCGTCCCACATGGCATGCAGGTGTTCACTCTCTCAGCTCGACGCTCACATATCCCGATCCACGACACATGCAGGCTTTGCATAGAACTTTGTACCTCACCTCACCTCACCATAATGTTAGTCAATAAAATATTCCCATTAACATCTGGCATGAGACCACAAAAGTGAATAGACGGGTTATCCAAGTTTTTGGAGAATCGAATCTCCATCAAGTTTGTACGTTCTTGGTGTGATACTTAAAGAGGGAGTTGACCCTCACTTACACTGGACGAATGTTTAGCACCCCCGTAGATTGAAACATTCCTTGGTTTAAAAAGACAACAGTAAGTGCGTTATCGTGCTGTTGAATTTTCTGGTCATTAAGTTGACTGGTTTGATTACACGCCGCCCTCACGTGGCTTTAGTATTGCTATGTAGCGTCAGGCGACACTTACTTGTTTACCAAGTGTGTGGTAGGGCTGGACATTCTTACCATTTTTGCGAACACTTTCTCCGCAAGTTAGACTCTGTTTCGGTGGATTATCGTGACTGGTTATTCTCTGGGGTAGACTTTTATATTTGAGTCCAAACGAAAACATCCAAATTTCTAGTTATTACTTCTCTTCTGTTGGAGTGAGTGAGGGAGTTGTGTTTAACGCCGCTATATCACGGCGTGTCAGCTTAATGTGGGAGGAAAGCCCAAAGTGATGTAGGTCTCAGACGTTTACCATTTCAAAACCAACGAGCATGGGTATGGTGCTGACAAACCTAGAAACATAATCGGGGCGAACCGGGATTCGAACCCACAATCATAGGTTTCTGGCGAATACAAGGGACGCAACTCTGCACAGCGAATTACGGCGACTTTGACGACTTGGCCACCCGTGCCCCCTCTTCTGTTGGAGCAAAAGAACGTCCACATTCACAACCAAACATCGGTCGTTTCATTGATGACGGCATATCATGAATACGTCACACAACCAGGCAACAGCGTTGTGGCATGTTTCTTTAAGAAGGGTTTAGTCGTTGATCAAACTATTGTTCCTTATTGGTAAACCGATGACAATACGTCGATATCATAAATGTAAACTGTGAAAGTTGAAAATAGGCAACGGAAATAGGTTATAGATAATTTCAAGCTAAAGAAGTAAATGCCAAAAATACGCTAAAACAACAGGGCTTGCTGCAGTATATATAGTTTATGATTCCTTTTACATATAAAAATGACCAGCTTCTTGTTTAACGTCGTAGACAATCCAGGTTGACACCAAGAACATCGATCTATGCGACCCGTGAAGATCCGGGGTAGAATAGGTCTTCAGCAACCCATGCTTGCCATAAAAGGCGACTATGCTGGCCGTAAGAGGCGTCTAACGGGATCGGGTGGTCAGGCTCGCTGACTTGGTTGATGCAAGTCATCGATCTCGATTGCGTGGATCGATGCTCGTGATGTCAATCACAGGATTGTCTGGTCAAGACTCGATTTTTTACAGACCGCCGTCATATAGCTGACATATTGCTGAGTGCGGCGTTAAACAAAAAAAACCAAACAAACAAAAATTAATTACATTAAATCAACCAAGACACCGAGCCTGACCACTCTATCTATTTAGTCGTCTTTCGACAAGCATAATTTGCAGGGGACATATTCTTTTACCCGGAATCTCTACTGGGGTCGGGGTCTTTGGCCTCATGTCGAATAAAGGCAGAATATTATGAGAAGGTAAATCTGACAGCCATACTTTCTCAGTGCTACTGCATGCGATGTATATTATAACATTTTTATCATTTCAGCGTAGACAATTTCAACTACGGAGCAGCTATTTTGGGAGAGCCATGTGTTATTCCTTTTGTCGAGACCCGAGCACCTGCAGCGTCTATTGCGTTTGGGCCTGAAGGAAAGTGCTTCTTCACCCTATCTGGAACTGGATATGCGCCTCTCCGTCGACACGACAGAATACCTGAGTGTCAAGATGGATGTGTACAGCGACATCAGTACTGGCAATGAACAGCATGTACAAACGTATGCCGAGAAATAAAGAAATAAAGCTAGAAATACTCGTTGCCTATGTTTTATTTGGTTTTTGTAAACCCAAGTATGACTTATATGTCAGCCCCGTAATTGTGGCCTTCCAAAGTCTTCCGTACTGATGAACCCGAACTATGACCAGTCCTGAGTGAGTGAGTACGGTTTTACGCCGCTTTTAGCAATATTCCAGCAATATCACGGCGGGGGACACCAGAATTTGGCTTCACACATTGTACCGGGAATCGAACCCGGGTCTTCGGCGTGACGAGCGAACGCTTTAACCACTAGGCTACCCGAACGCCCCTGATCAGCCCTGAAACGTGTTATTACAAGGGTCGTGATAGACAATGCATCAACTCTTCATAATAAGACTACACCAAATAATTCTTTCTATTTTGGAAATACATCTTCTATACCTTCCAAACAAGTGAATTAGCAATGCTATTTTTGAATAGACTCTTTTGAGTGAGTGAGTTGGTATCAGCCTAATGTGCGAGGAAAGACCGAAGTGATGCAGGTCTCAGACGTTTTCCACTTTGGTGAAACCCACGAGCACGTGTATGGTGCTGATAAAACTAGAAACATAATCTGGGCAAACCGGGATTCGAACCCACAAGTTTCTAGGGTGGACAAGGGACGCAACTTTGCACAGCAAATCATCAACCAGGCCACATACGTCGCTAATGTTAACCTTAGACGGGTTTCGTCAACCAGGCCACAGACCTCGCTGATGTCAACCTTATACGGGTTTCGTCAACCAGGACTCAGACCTCGCTGATGTCAACCTTAGACGGGTTCCGTCAATCAGGACATAGACCTCGCTGATGTCAACCTTAGACGGGTTCCGTCAACCAAGACACAGACCTCGCTGATGTCAACCTAAGACGGGTTCCGTCAACCAGGCCACAGACCTCGCTGATGTCAACCTTAGACGGGTTCCGTCAACCAGGCCACAGACCTCGCTGATGTCAACCTTAGACGGGGTCCGTCAACCAGGACACATACCTTGCTGATGTCAACCTTAGACGGGTTTCGTCAACCAGGACACAGACCTCGCTGATGTCAACCTTAGACGGGTTTCGTCAAGCAAGACACAGACCTCGCTGATGTCAACCATAGACGTGTTTCGTCAACCAGGACACAGACCTCGCTGATTTCAACCTTAGACGGGTTTCGTCAACCAGGACACAGACCTCGCTGATGTCAACCTTAGACGGGTTTCGTCAACCAGGACACAGACCTTGCTGATGTCAACCTTAGACGTGTTTCGTCAACCAGGACACCGACCTCGCTGATGTCAACCTTAGACGGGTTTCGTCAACCAGGACACAGACCTCGCTGATGTCAACCTTAGACGGGTTTCGTCAACCAGGACACAGACCTTGCTGATGTCAACCTTAGACGGGTTTCGTCAATCAGGACACCGACCTTGCTGATGTCAACCTTAGACGGGTTTCGTCAACCAGGACACAGACCTCGCTGATGTCAACCTTAGACGGGTTTCGTCAACCAGGACACAGACCTCGCTGATGTCAACCTTAGACGGGTTCCGTCAACCAGGACACAGACCTCGCTGATGTCAACCTTAGACGGGTTTCGTCAACCAGGACACAGACCTTGCTGATGTCAACCTTAGACGTGTTTCGTCAACCAGGACACAGACCTCGCTGATGTCAACCTTAGACGTGTTTCGTCAACCAGGACACAGACCTCGCTGATGTCAACCTTAGACGGTTTTGTCAACCAGGACACAGACCTCGCTGATGTCAACCTTAGACGGGTTTCGTCAACCAGGACACAGACCTCGCTGATGTCAACCTTAGACGGGTTCCGTCAACCAGGACACCGACCTCGCTGATGTTACTGGTTATTACACATATTTCACTTGTTACATAACTAATAATGCCAATTGTAACTCCTCATTGAAGTTACAATTCCTGCTTGTTCCAGTCACAACTTCACGATTGTTAGTTATCTTGTTTCGAGTGAATCGTGAACAAAGGAACTTAGGATATCAAGTTCCTCTCAGCAGTAGATCAACTGATAGTTACGAATGTAGTATGCACTGCAAGTGAACTTGGCAGCAATAGGGACAAGGTCAGTGTTCTTCAGTTGGAAAAATATTTCTGGTTCTTCATTTTGGAAATCTTTTTGTAAATGCTTTGATCATTTTATACATGTTTTCAAGCATTTACTGTAACATGATCAATTGATTATTAATGTGACTTGAATGGATTAAGGTCCCTGCCATCACAATGAAAGCTATCTCTGTAGAAGACAAGTAACACAGTGTGTGACAGGGAGTAGGCTGACTGTAAACAACATATATCCTTACGTTGGTCATTTACCTGACACCTACATATACCCCACGATTTCTAAATATTTGTGTCGAAAGGACGGTTAACTTTGTAATTATTAGGAGTGTTTTTCATAGTATGTGCATTTATCGAAGGATACCCAATCTTATACAATTTGTGACTGTTATGTTTCGATACAACCACCCCCACCCCCCAAAAAAAATAAAAATAAAAAAATAATAAAAATAAAATTAAAATAAAAAATGAAATAAAATAAGATTAAATAAAAAAAAAAAAATAAAAAAATAAATAAATGAATATATATATAGTTAAAATAATCCTGAAGAACAGCGTGATCATGGTTGTATGCGGTTATAACTATAAACAATCAATTGCTTCGCCTTTTTGTCGGTTTACCAGCCTCAAATTTAAACGTGGAAGCAATCATTTCTGCGCATGATAAAAGTAACAAACTTGCTACCGAAATGTAATGCCCTCCTTATCGAACCACACCAAACAGTTAAACCTTCAGAGCGCTTATGAACGCTACTGATATGGAATCATAGAAGGGATATTGTCACATTGCCATTCTAACAGACATGGCTTTACTCCTTTTTCAACTCCAATAGCCCAAGACACGAGTGATTCCAAAACATTTAACGTATCAATGACAAAATGGATAGCTTTTCTTAAAATGTTATCATTTCATATATCTTTATTGTCTGTTTCGTTTTCATGACACCAGGAAACAATATGGAATATGTATTTCTACTTCATATAATGGGATCCGCCGTCTCTTTGTACTCACTTGCCAAACATATCAAACATGCCATGACCCTGAGAGGCAGAATACGCTAACCGTTTCGCGAACACCTGGTATCATCACTATATGATAGTGATTCATAAACACATGCTCAGGATATGGTTGCCAAGTTGTCTAAGGCGCAGCAATTTGCGTCCCTTAAGCCTTCAGAAACCTATGATCGTTGGTTCGAATCCTGGTTCGCCCCGATGGTTTCTCTATGTTTGTTAGCACCACATCCGTGCTCGTGGGCTTCACCAAAGTGGTAAACGTCTAAGACCCGCATCACTTCGGGCGATCCTCCCACATTACGCTGGTATGCCGTGATATAACTGGAGTACTGTTGAAAGCGGCGATAAACTCACTCACTAAATCCGATGTTACTTTCTGCAGGTCAAATGGTGGGAAAGGTTATAGTTGTGACTGGCTTTGGGCGTCTTTCTTTGAGGTTGAAGGTCCTGCAGCCATCAAGACGGCCCGAAGATAAGAAACATAGTCAGAAGAGAAAGACGAGAGCTTTGTCTATAATTTTAAAGACCCTCACAGGTGGGGAAAAATCGAATAATTATTATTTTTACAATATGTTCCGGTTTAATTCAGAGGAAAATTGGAAAATCTCAATGTCCTGAAAATCACAAAGCTCGCTACCCTCTGTCAAATAATCTGGTACCATAGAAACACTGTTTATCATGAAAAATTACCACATTTCTAAATTTATACTCATACATATTTTTATGTGTAAACAATATGTTACGAAAAATGTTAAAATCATATTGGTTTGATGGAGTTAATATATCTATTCTTGATTCTTTTCACTATATATTTTTACACTTTGTGTTGATACTGTAAATTATTGCATTAAATTAAGTTGAATTAACTTCAAAATGATGTAAACATATTATATTGCTTACGAGATGCCATGCCTGACACTGTTCAAAAGTATAAACAAAGTATCATTTTAATTTTTTTAATATTAAATGGGAGCAATTTGAAAGGTGATCCAGTGACAGATGGCAGCGAATACCGAATACCAGCTAGTGGAAATGAATCGAGATATTTTGCAGACAGAAGCTGTCGACAACCACGACTACTCCGACATACACACATTGTGGTTAGAATCTTGGGGAAGTATTCCATTTACCCTTTGAGTACTTTATTATTTACAGTAATACTCATGATGGTATCAATTCAAAATGCTGCACGTATAATCACTTCTCGTGGACACCATTGTCCCGATTACTTGGAACAGTGAGTGAGTGAGTTGGGTTTAACGCCGCTTTTGAAAGTATTCCAGTTATATCGCGGCGTGTCAGCTTCATGTGGGAGGAAAGCCCGAAGTGATGCAGGTCCCAGACGTTTACACTTCGGTGAAACCCACGAGCACGGGTAGGGTGCTGACAAACCTAGAAACATAATCGGGGCGAACCGGGATTCGAACTCACAATCATAGGTTTCTGGCGTGCCCAAGGGACGCAAGTCTGTACAGCGAATCGCGGCGCCTTAGACGACGTTGGTTTTAGCAGTGAGGTCAAGCTCTGGGAGCATTCATCTATAGTTTGTTACATTTTGAGAATGTACGATAAGATATATAAGTGAGATAATGCGATAACGCGACAGTTTGACATATCAGACATGAAATATCGAAGTTCAGGTCCTAACGATAAAACACTCCAGTCGTTAATGCACTTCGTAGTTTACGTCTCAAGAAAGTGGGAGAGATATGTCTTACACTGCGTGTTCCACCAGTGCCACGATACCCATAGATTGTACCCTTTGAAATTAAACCCACACACCAACCCCCAACCCCTGATCATGTGTGCAAAGCTGTTTAGGGACCGACCAGTTTATATTCTGGGATGGAGCTGGAATTTTATCGAAAGAAATTGTTCCCGAAGATTCTAGAATAATACGACTATGCTTCAGACTTTTGAAAACAGTTATTGCCTGAGACAAATATGAAATTGTTGCAACGTGTATTTCTTAAAATAAAATCCATGCTCCCAGGTTTAAATAAAAAGAATATGATACAATACCCCAGCCCCGTCGCCACCCGCATCTCCCCCGGCGTCTTCGTTGAAGTTTAATGACAATATTTGCAGGCAAGAGGCCGCTTTAGGTAGCTTTCATTAATGATCTATATCTTATCGTGATTCACGGGTCATTATCTCGGAGCAACGCTAATTGAAGCTCCAAAACTTAAGAATCCAGTCTACAAAAATACACAAAAGGAACACCCATTAAATTACTGACAGCTCAGCACCTTCGATATTTGCACCACTCAACAAGCAACGTATCACAAAATGAAATATTATGTGACTTACATCATGTAACATTAAACTATAATAAGAACCATTTCTTTCTTCATATCAATGTTGATATTAGTTTCACTGACAGTAAGAATAATATATATTTGCCAAAAATGTGACATAAACATTATGTCTTATTGACCATACATAATGTCTAAATCACTGCAAGTTTTCCCCCTACACGGAGCAGGCACACGCCATGATATAACTGTACATACGGTTGAAGCTGTTAATCTTTAAACCCCGTGCCTAGAGGCCTACCACATGGAACGTCTAATTATGTTGAAAGTACACAGTTCTGTTACCGAAAACCTACTCAAAACATTGGCTCCAAACTGTGGTACGTTTCAAATTAACTAAATGTAACACTTGACACATTGAACGTTCACAACAGCACTATCCTAACAATAAAAACCGCCTCCGTTGTGTAGTGGATAGAAAATCTACCCAGAGAGCGGAAGATCGGCGGTTCGATCATTCCTAAAGACGTTAAAGATGGTGATTGTTGTTACCCTGCCTGGCGCTCGGCATGAAGGGGATAAAACAAGGACCGGTATACTGTGTCTTACTGAAAAGTCACTCATGTTAAGGCTGCGGCATGATATATCAGTGGGCTAGCTCTTTAATTAAACCCTTTCCATATTCATAAGAAATCGTCAAAAGTCGGCATTAGTCAAGACTAGTACAAGCATCGTCCTATGTAAGGGCAATACTATTGAACACGAAGTTAAACCACCTTTCACCTCATCTCACCTGACATTAACAACAATCTTTGCAAGCACACCGCCTCCATAATCTAATCCTCTTCTTAAATATGCTGAACAGCATTGAAAACGCACCAGCAATAAATCTTGAAATATTACAAAAACAACTTGAGCAATGACCGATGTTGATTAGAACAGACATAGACGGATTATTAAGAAAGACGACAAAGGAAACAGGAATACCACTCAGTAATTAACCATTCAAACCTGTATCATATCCTGCGGGTAGAGACAGCACGCAGTCCGTATAGCGGCACACCGCGAACTAGATCAAGGATCAGTGTGAATAAACGTATGTCATGAACTTTAAAATACAATATAAAATATAATAAACGGTGGGGTATCAAAACATGTCTTCATTGGAGTTAAAGCTTGGTATGTTATAGTTTGAAAACGGTAAGACTTGAATCTGAGGCAGAGAAACCGCTTCGGTAATGAAAGGTTCTGAGAAATTTTGTTGGACTTGAATTTGCCATCTTCTGCTTAAATGGGCAAGCAAAACATGACCCCCCAAAAAATGTCCCCGAAAATTATCGAAAAAAAATAATTTTGATTCAGACTTTTGAAACAAAAGAAATCGCTTGCCACGATAATTACATTGTTGCAAAGCGTATTTATTTAAAAGAAATTCAAGCTCGTGGTTTTAAATTTAAAAAAGTATCCAGTTTTTTAGCTGTAGCTGAAGATATATCTAATCTAGCCCTTAGACTTACCAACGAATGCTATTTTCAATTTAAAACACCGAAACTTCACACAACACGGGCTCATTCCATAAAACATCACCCGTCGATCTTTCTCACACACCTTCAAAACCATCTACCATTATAGGATTTGTGATGTGAGAGGGTCTTCGTGACCGTGGGCCCCCTTAGGGGTACTCTCTCCTATGCTTAGACTCACACAGTCGTGTAACGAGGGGCATCATTCATCATGACTTTGATAATTCAATCGTGTATATCTTTCGCTGTACATCTTTCCTTGACATACTACTACTACTACTACTACTACTACTACTACTACTACTGCTACTAAGCCTTTCACATGGATAAAGTCGGCTGGCCTGAAAAGTCATACAGAACGCTTTCGATTGCCAACTCGAACCTGGCAATGTGTGATTTTGCATCAAAATGTAAATATGAAATGTAGATTATTCGATTTAATGAGACGACCAGCCTTGGCACAAACACAGTACACCTATCTCGGCCCAAAAACTGATCTTGTCCTGTTTTGATAATTCCAATGAAATCATATATATCATTGGATTTTCTGTCCCTTTTGACACTAATGTGATTGACAGGATTCGAGAAAAACACGGCAAATATGCGGACCTCGTTTCCAAATGTCTTGCTTGCATCCCAAGTACCAAGTTGACCGACTCGCCATTGTTTTCCGGTGCCGGATTTTCATCGGGTTCTGCGGCAGGCTGAAGTGTTAGGGAGTCTTCAATTCTCCGAAAGGTTCTGGGTGGGTTTGACTATGCAGCGCTTCCTGGGAGAAGTCCCATTCGCTGTCTGTGCTGCCTACCGAGGGAGCAAAGGCCCCGAGCTGATGGTGAGCCTAGCCAGCCTGACTGTGCCAGGATCACACAAACCCTCTTTGCTGAATTTATTATCTATAATATCTATAAATACTAATAACAAATATAGCTGGACGAAGCAGTGGCGGGCTCTAAATGATATGCACGCACAAACGTACGCAAAAACGTTTCAAAAACCGTACGCATGGCCGTGGAATTTTTTTGGTATCAGGAACTCAACGGTCAACATACGCATACTAAATTTGAACATAATTGGGCAACTGAGAAGCGGTGCTTTCACAATGGTTTGACAGTTCCATCACCACTAGCGCCAAGCGAATGAGCTTCAGTGACTGACTGAATGAATGGAGTAAACTGTCGTACCTGCGGAAACTGCTGTGCTCAGGACGGTTGTGCCGACTCGGCTTGGGTTAAGTTCGGTGCACTGAGTGAGTGAGTTAAAAATTAACGTCCATAAGACGCATGGACAGGCTTGGTTTGTTTGTTCGAACGCCGTCAAAGGTGATCGGAGTGTCCCAGGGTGTTCCAAACCATTTCCGGACGTCAGGACGACCTTTCATCCAACCAATCAGAGCGTCGCTTACCAGATCATGAAAGTGACAGTCGGAATGTGATTTCGAATCATGCAACCTCGAAAACTTTAACACGGGATATTCAGAACGATATTTTAACGACTGAATCCGTACAATCTAGACTATCTATTAGCCATTCCACAATGTTCTTTTGTTCAGGTTTCAAATTTTAAATCGAGAATTTGTCAAAATGTTTCGAAGCGTAGTCGCCAATTTGAAATTAGTGCCGTAAAGCACGAGAAAGCTGTCTTCTGATTGGTCATACCATTGGTCGGTCAAAGTTCGCGCAAGGTCGGTCTGACATGACCCGTAATAGGATGTCCTCAGATCTTTGTTTAGCGGTAGCGAGAACTAAGACCTGGTTTTAATGAGATTAATATATTGTGTGTGTACTAGAGGTTATGCTCTATGGTAGTTCCGAGAATCATTTAGCGCGAATTACAAGTAGGGCCGTAGCCAAATTTATCTAAAAGTTAAAAAAGTGATATTAAGTATTTGAATGGATCACTGAAAAACAGTGATTGCACCAGGTGTTCGTCAAAAGGATAAGCATCTCTTGCTATATCGCCAGCTCCCGCTACTCACTCAATTTGCACGAAAAAGCGATCTGACCAGACAATCCAGCGACACAATAACACGTTGACTGATTTTATCAAAACCAAAAACAATGTTAACTTTGAATGATACTATTTCTTTTGCAGAGTTTAAGCAATGTATTACTCTATTTACATGACAAAAGCTCAACATGCTGACAGCTTGACTGTAAAGAATGAAAATTACTTCTTAACTAGCCTTAGGCTATGAGATGACCCAGGTATAATTTGTATATCTCTACAAAATCGTAATTCCCTCTATCCTTAATCTCTACTGGGACTTCATCGCACTTCTCTACCCTTAATCAGAAAACTAACTATGGCTTTAGGGTTAAGGTGTGATATAAAACGGCGTGAACGTTATCAGACCCAGTGACTGAGTAAGTACAGTGTGCCAAGATGTTTTCAATGGCCATTGCACTTGGCCTGCTGGCTACCTGCGCTTGTAAGTATTGAAATCAGATATTCAATTGTATATTTTGGTGATCTTTCAACTTGTGACTGGTTACCAACATTGGTGCCAGCTAAAGACAAGTTTGTTGGCTATATTTTGCTACACATATTCCTATAATCATAGTATTTGAGACCCGAAAGAATTTGGGGTTAGAATAACTAATGCAGGCGAAAGAGGCGACTGAATAGAAGGGGTGGTCAGGCTCAGTGACGTGACTGATTGTATATTATCGTACACCGATGGCGTTGGTCTTTGCTCTTTAATTATTAACTGGCTTGTCTGGTACAAATTCGATTATTTACAGGCCGTTGTCACATAACAAAATGTGTAAGGTTTCTAGTATCTCTTCTTGCGCAGATGTTTCTGATGTCGAGGTAGGATTGACACAACGCCAACGCAGGCTTGAAATAGGGCACATGAACCAAGAACATAATGAAGGAACATGATATATTCCATAGAATTAATTAGAGGATCGTTCGAGTTATCATTTGAATTCTCATTCAGAGACATTGGTCATTTGATAATCCAACGCATTTTTCACATTTGAACTTAAGACATATTTACTTGCATTTGTATTACTATGCTTCGTACATATCACCCTGGAGATATAGAAAAGAAACACTTGCATGTTTTAGATGGATCTCAGAAGCCCGAAACCTGTGCAAGAGTAGGTAAGTAATATTTCAGGGCTACTTTAAAGGCAGTTCTTAAACAGGTACTGGAACAGCATAACATAAAGAATGTGCACAATGGAAAATTGTTAGTTCGTGAATAAATATATTGCATGCCGCCGCATGAGCAATATTGCAACTATTAACATATGCGATTAACAAACCCTGTGACCAAGCCCTTGTTCTGCGGCAATGTGTGAAACTGAAATATTGCTAAAAGCGGCGTAAAATCATACTCACTCACTCACTGTTCTACAGCGTGATGTGCTGGGAATTTCCCGAGCGACGAAGCAATATATGGATGAAAGTAGAGAAAATTGCGACCGTGATTAAGTATAAAAACGTCACTGGAAGAGAACAGCCCGTCTCGATTATCTGCCGAAACAGATTCCATTTGGTGTAAAAGCAAAAATAGCGAATATTATAATAAATGGATCAAATCAAGCGAAAATATATTATGATTATGTGTGTGAGATACACAGTAGTTTAATATTCTGTAATTTTTTTGCCGTAAGAAATAAATATCTCAACACGATTCTTTTCTTTTGTCATGATGTGACTTGCTATGCTAAATGGATCAAACATTCGTTTGACGCCTTGACAGGAGTAAATGTGATTGTCCAACTGTATAGCTGCCCAATCTCATTAAAATCAGATCTTAGTTTTCGCTACCGCTAAACAACAGATGTGACAACAGATGGCTGTATCTCTACTGGCTGCTGAACAACCGCATCACCTTACTTTCTGTCTGTGAAGCGCATATTTCATCATTTTACACTAAGGTTAATGTTTCAGGATTTTTATCTACCCTTGAAGATCCGGGTTAGAATTGGCCTTCAGCAACCCATGCTTGGAGTAAGAAGCGACTAACGTGATCGGGTGGTCAGGCTCGCTGACTTGCTCCATGCATGTCATCATATCCCAATTGCGTAGACAGATGCGCATGCTATCAATCACTGGACAGTCTGGTCCAAGCGCGATTATTTACTGACCATCGACCTAGAGCTGGAAAATGGCTGAGTGCGGCGTTTAGCAACAAAAAAATAATTTTTTATTTATTTTTTAAATGCAATTTTGGCAGACGTTTCATTTCTAAATTCATTTGACCTAATCGGTGACTTAATCGGCCCTATAGTGAGATTCCCGAAAAAGACTTTGATATCTCACAAATTTGCAATATTTATTTTGAAAATAAAAACAATTCTGTGACATAAAATACACTTCATAAATACTGATGTATACATTTTTGTTCATACTTCAAACTTAGTTATTGGTATAGCAAGTATTGACCCAGTGTGAAAAGAATCTATGCAGTGGTTTTCAAGTTGCACGTCGTACACAATATGTCCTCGAAAGGACGGGTGGAAAAGCATGAAAATAGCGATATGATTGTCAGGGAAAAAAAACACTTATCGAAATCAAACTTTGCTCTGCTCCTCTTCTATTAGTATGAAAAAAGTTTGAAAATTTTGAAAAGGTTCGCTAAATACTATGTTTATTCATAATACAGGATATATTATGTTCCCAAACACTCTCCTACTGGTATTGAAACTGTACCCCTAATTGGAAAAGAATCCATAAAGCCGTTTTCAAGTAAAAGGTCTCACAAATGTTGAAGTAAACAATAATAAGTTCAAAACATGACATAAATCACATCTTTTCGGAAACTACACCCATCACATATCAAACTTTGCATTGCATTATTAGTATAGAAAGTGTTCCTTAAATTTGAAAAGTATGCATGTTGTAGTTGTGCGTAGGATAAGTATTGAAGTAAAAAAAAAATAAACGCAACAAAAATAATTGAACATGAAAAAAATCTTGGATGGCGTAAGACGTTTGGTAAACCTTTTTTAAATTCAAAACTTGCATGCAGAGCTACAAAGCGGTTGGTTTATGTACGGTATTCGTCTTTAAATCACCAGTTAAAGTTTGTAAAGCATTTAACATTGAAAAAGTAATTAAATTCGTAACCAAGTTCCAATGCTGTTTTTATGACAAAATGTTCTACAACGATTGTTCCCTGAAACCACAACGATGGTAAAGACGATGACGAACATCATATTCCACTAATACGATCTGGTCCCTTGACACAAAATACTAGTCTGTACATGTTAAAGTTAAATGCAGTACGTTCAACAACTAGAGTTTGATAAAAAAAAAACCTGTTTACTATAATTACTTCAACATATGAAAAAGGCACTGGCCATTTCCACTGATATTGTATATTCATTATTTAATTTATTAATGAATATTTGCATCTGCATTTCCAGCTTGTTGCAAATTGGTTCTGTTAACAGGTTCTGCTTCATTTGCCACATAAATAAAAGAGTAGGTCAGTAAAAATTGTCGTAGATTTTTACCATGTAGTTGTAATATTTTACTTGTCTCAAGAAAGAAAGCAAAACACGAAGCGGAAGCCTGGTTCAAGTGATAATGAATAACAGTGTTAATCTTGCCGAAAAAATTAAATGTGTACTGAATATTTAGATGAGTATTATTGCTTTAAGCAACTCAAACCCAAATATAAAAATATAAACCCTGATATGCCAGTCCACGTGGCAATGTACAGGGACATGTAAAATCGTGGACAATCAACATGAATAAATGAAGTCAAAAAAAAAGAAAAAAGAAAAAAAGAAAATTGATAATGACAGATACCGTAGTTTGAAATGCATTGATGTATGAACAGTGACTATTGTGTGGCACCTATCATTTTACTTATTAGAGAAGTTAAGTGAGAAATGCTATATAACACACATATTATATCTGTTAAAGGTAAAGTACAATTTTTTACTCTATTACTCCTAATAGGTAAACCAGCGTTTGGCGGCCCGCGCGATATTGCTACGATAAGCAGCTCTGACGAGAACGTTCTTGTAGCTCCAACTGGATTAGCTTCAAGCGGGGTCTATGTGGATGTCCTCTACTACATCAATGCCGACACAGAAACCGAATACTACAACAGGGTGTATGCCATTAACGCGCATACAGGGGAGGTAGTTGGAGCTATCACCATTACAAATGCTATGACAGGCTCTAGTCAGAATTGGCAGGGCTTGGCAGTCCAAGTCTGTCCGGAGCCAATGGATGGATCTTGTATCTTCGTCCATGATGTTGGACTTAACATCGTCTACATCGTACAAGAAGAATCTAATCCGGCTTCTTTCACCATGAAAGATGCTGCTAAGATAATCATGTATACCTACAAGTGAGTATCCATGCGATGCTTGAACATAAGGCTAATTTGCATTCTAGTTCAGTCGCGAAATCTAAGCATTTCCTAGCTCTCGGAACAAAGTCTCAACAACTTCGCTACAAACAATTCAACAGTATTGTTTACGTGACGCTTTTTAATGGATAGCAACCTCTTTTATTCGTTGTACGACGTTTCAGAGCTACTTCTTGCTCCTTCGTCAGGTGAACGATGAATGATAAAGGGGCAAGAAGTAGCTCTGAAACGTCGTACAAAGATTAAAAGAGGTTTCTATCTATAAAAAGGCGGCATGCATTCATGTTCTCCCAACTTCTAAATGCTTATCAAAGACTTAACTGCATTGTTTATTTTACATATTATATTTTTCTAACAATATCCAATGTTTCAAAAGGGATGAAGGCACCGTACCTACTACCAGCAGAAGCATCTTCGTCGACTGTCAGGGTGGCATCTATTTCTTAAGCGCTGCTTTTCGGGGACGTGGTGTGCGACTTTACCGCATTATTGAAAACGATGACAGTACGTACACCGCAGAGCCTAAATTACAGCTCGATATCCCAACGGCATCCTTTGGTCCAACGGCTGCTAGTCTGTCCCGGGACTGTTGCGAGCTGGTTGTGAGGACGGAGGATAAGATTTACTATTACCCCTGGGTCGACATGATGCTCCAACAGGATGATGCACGCCTTCTGCCTGCTGTAATCAACCCTTATGGTTCATCCATTGCTTGGGCGTTAGACGGGAGTGGATTCTACACAGCTTTGGAATCTGCACCTATGACGCTTGCCTTCAGTCCAAGAAACAAACAGGTTCCAGGTAAAAAGAACTTAAAATTCTTTTATGGTTGACTTAAATGGTTGCCCAGTCATCTAAGGCGCCGCAATTCGCTGTGCACGGTTGCGTCCTTTTGATGTATAAAAAATATACCTGAAACCTATGATTGCGGATACCAATGCCAGATGATCGCCTACATGTTGTTGTAGTTTGTAGCGTCCTCCTGGAGATCGGAAGGCTTGTAATACGATCCCTGACCGCGTCATATCCAAAGACGTTAAAATAAAGTACTTGTTGTTACCCTACCTGCCGCTCGGCATCAAGGGGAGATAACGTCTCTATACATCCGTCTTACCCCGGACTAGTAAAGTCACGCAGACCCACGCATATTAATGCTACCACGGAACGTATGGCCCTGTCATACTACAACGGTTTAGAGTAACTTGCACCTAGCGTGTAAAAGACAGTTAGTACGCTGTCATACGTCGAGCTTTCATCGAAAAACCATGATTTTGGCGTATCCATAGCGTATACATAACGACAGTTTAGCGTATATGTAACACATGTCTAACGTATTAGTAGCGTATCACTGACTTATACATAACTTATGACAGCGTATAAAAGCGTATTGTCAGCGTGTACCTGGCGTGTTCAACGTATGGTCAGCGTATGCCTAGCGTATGAGTATGACTAGCGCTTAGCGTAGGAGAAAGGTGCCTAAAACGGGCCGTATGGGTAACGTATATCTGGCGTATGTAAACTAGTGTAGAGCGTACCTCTAACGTATGACTAACGTATAATTCATACCTTCATACGTTCCCATACGCCGAAAATGTTTTTTATGCCTCGGCGTACTACAACGTATACCAGCGTGCTTTTAACGTATACAACTTACACCTAACGTATCCATAGCGTGTTTCAGCGTTGCCGGCGTTGTGGCAAAACAATCTCAAACGTCGCCATACGTTACTGCTATACTTTGTAGTGTGACAGAGCCATTAGGTGAATTTTGCACTTGATGTTGAAAGCAAGTTCGTGATGACAACCTTATCTCACTGTCAAGCATGAGCAAGTGTTAGTCAACATCAGCTAGTGTCGGTATATGTAAAGCTAGATTAGATTTCTAAGATTAGGATATTGTTTAATGCCGACAAAGAATAGGATGTATGTATCCACTTAAAAAGAGAAAATCGATCCCCGGGCGCGTCATACCAAAAGACGTTAAAATATGGTGCTTATTGTTATCTTGCCAGGCGGATACAATATAAGTATACTGCGCCTGAGCGAGATATTCATGTTATACTGCGGCATGGTATATCCGTGTAAGCGCAATAATCTTAACAACACGCGAAACCTCTTTTCACCTCAACTCACATCTTCACGACATGCCACATGGGGTAATTACGAATGATCACAATATACAAACACACCTACTTACTCTCGGTATATCAGATATGCCGTATTCGACGTAATAAGCGCCCCGCTCTATTAAGCGCCCACGGCGATATTTGCTAATATTTTGCCATTGAACAATCCCAATTAGCCCCCCTTCCGATTTATCAATGTACACAAGACTTATTTATTCGTGTATAATACGCACTCGTGTGTTATATGCACCCTTAATTATGGGCAATTAAATGCTGGAAAAATGTATCTGTCGTAAATAAACAGTTCAGACTGTCAGCATAAACCACGAAATTTATCTTTCAACTCTGTTTTTTCCACCAAAGTAATATTCTGATAAGAGCCCCCTATTTCTAATTTTCGTATTACGTCGAATACGTCAGCAACAGTATTATTTGTCAAGTCGGCCTGAAGCACCCAGGCTCGCTGACTTGGTTGATGCATGTCACCGATCCCAATTGCGTTGATCAATTCTTATGATATTAATCACTGGATTGTCTGGTCCAGACTCGATTACAGACTGCCGTCACATATCTGGAATATTGCTGAGTGCGGCGTTTAACAGCCAACCAACCTGAAACACCGTTCCTCCAATTTATACGTTACGTCCTGTCGCTTTCAATTAAAGGGAACTACATGTATTTCAGTTGCGGTAAAAGTATTTATCTGGTTTTATGTTACTTTGATAACATGAAGTCACACTTCTCTTGAACATTCTCTCTTGAGTGGCACATTATATAGTACAATAAAATGATTTTGGCTGCCCGTTCCACTTTCTCCATCTTCCCGAGGCAAGAGAGTTAACTGACTCTAAAAGTCCAGTTTCCATCCACAGGCAGGATAGTGATATAACTGAAACAGTGGACCCATATATATAAATAGACAAGGTACGTCACTCGCCATCTTGTCCGTAGTTGAAATCGGCTGTATCGTTTAAATTAAATGGAAATGTGTGCATGTCATGTTCACAATACCTCCCCACAGCCCTCCAAATACGACCTGCATGCCACAAACCTTCATTTTTGACAATTTATTACCTATATCGGGTGATTTTATCGAAATATTGGCTCAGTCGCGGCTGTGGGTCACGGAAGTATACAAAAATCTCCGCACTCAATGTCCCTGAGCGCTCTGATTGGTAAATATTCCCATGTGTGTTTGTTATGGTTGGAGCGCGGACAAATCACAGCACTCGACGCCATTGAGCGCGGAGATTTTTTTTTTACTTCTGTGACGTTCCGTGACGTACCTGTGTTTCCACCCTTGCCGAACAAAGCTGGTATTATGGAGTTACATTTTGGCTGAACTAATGAGTCAATGCCTAGTCCAATCAAAATCGCTCACCGAAATCGAAATCCGGTTCGTAAACGGTCGTGCAGATTTCGGTCGATTGCAGGATTTGCAAAGCATGGGCACAGCCAACAGATATTTTCCATTTTTTTCATGTTTTTAATCAAAGTACTCACGTGGTTTGATACATTTCACGATGTAAGACCCGTTTTATCACAATATAGATCTTGATTATCGATCACATCGTCCCGATTGGGCGCAACCATTTTGTGTGAAGCAAACGCAAGTGATACGAGAGGTGGAATCTGATTGGTCCACAGGAGAGGCTTAGAAGGGACAGAACTGGTAATAGCCACTGGTGGCGCTACGATCGAGCCCAGTAATAGCAGCCTAGTTCGGCAAGGGTGGAAACTGGACTTTTAAAGGCAGTTAACTCTCTTGCCTCGGGAAGATGGGATGGTAGCAATATGAACACACATCACAGTTCTCTTATTGTAACTGTCATACGTTATTTTTACAGAATCCAAGTTTACTCTGGGTAGAGTTATAGGAGGCGTTGCCAAGGAACCATTTGTGGAAATAGCGGGTATTGCTGCAAGCAGAGAACATCCGGGCATCCTCTATATGATGTCGGACGAGCAAACAACTGATATCCTAGTTGTGCAGATGAATGAGGTAAACCGAAACGTTTTCCAAATAGACCTATAAACCTATACATATATCTATAAACGGCATGTTTAATAACGCTTTACACAATAACAATTCCTCAGCAGCATTTGGAAAGGTTTCCGGAACATTTGTCATCGTTTATAACTGGGAGAAGAATACTTAGGTCTGATTCGCGAAGATGTCGAAAGGGAAACGTAATCGAGAAAGGATCTAAAAGCAGTAAGAATTGTCAGAACTTTGTTGGATGTAACGCACATGAATTACGTTGCCAGCATTGTCAGCATTTCGATGTAGTGATTTTAAAGCGAGTGTGCATGATCGCAGTAAATATTTTAAAGTCTTTGCAGGGCTTTTATAAGTAGTAAGACAATGAATACATGGAACTTATTATGGATAGGAACTCCTTTTATATTTTGTCACAACGTTCCAGATTGAATGCACTGACTCAGCACATAATATGTGATAATGTCAGGTGTTCGCTGAAAGTTATCTTGCCCTGGTGGCACCCGTCACAAACACATCCAATGGCAAGTCAAGCGTACACTTAAACAAACACTGAAAAAATATGGTACAAGTCTAAAAATGAAATTGCGTCGGACATATTTTGGTCATCGATGCGTCACTTCGAAAATGTCGAAAACAAGTGACCGATTCAAACAACTTCGGGTTCAAGATGATTCCATGAATCACATATATAGCAAAATGTGTGTGTCTATCTGATTGTACTAGTCCGGACTGATGGCGATTTTATAGTGTTAGCAAACTGAGATACCTTGCCGCAGTGTAATGGGATACTCCAATCAGACAGAATCCGATCCGACCAGTCCTTGTTTTATCCGACAGGCTAGGAAATAACAAGTACCCTTTCTTTTAATGGAAACACTCTAGTGGCAGACTTAGTTTTCATATTCTCTAGACCATGTAGGCGGGACCGACATAAAGGGAAAGTTGACTGATGGAAAGTTGATGTAACCTCTCTTGTAGATACTGTATTGCCACTGTATGCATACATCTAACTTTGGAACAGATGAGGTGGTTTTACTGGTGTCTTTTACCTCCAGTTCAGGTAGGTTAATCAGTGGAAGGAAATGGTTTATTTGATCGTTCTTGAACACCATCAAATCATCGACATACCTTAAGCTCAAGTTAAGGACGAAGTTAAACAGCAAGGAGGGCACAGTTAGTGCCAATGCAAACGCCGGAAAGGAATAGCCAAAATAAGAAATGAAAGGCAAAGCCAAAACCAGGATCGATGATCACCTTTGACGTTCAAAACACATCAATATACTGTGCGAACTTGCTCATAAATAATATAGGTTTCGGTAGTAGCATTGGAATATCAACAATTTAGAATTAGACCGCAAATATGTTGTGACAAAGGGGGAAACTATTTGCAAACCGATCATGTGATGTGTGATATCAATCATTAACATGGATAATATATTCTTTAAAACAGTTGGAGATCCTTAAAATTTGTTGTAAAGCTGAAAGAGATATTATTTCTTGCATAGGATGTTTGTCGTCAACACTCATCTTGGTTCAATATTTTGTACATATAACAGCATTGGAATATAGGCAACTTAGACGTAAAATACGTCGTGACAAAGTCCTTGTCATGTGTGATATCAATCATTAATATGGATAATATTTTTTAACCTCACTCCATAAGCCTTAAAGTCTAACAATGATGACTATATGATGACAGCAACCCATTACAGTTGTCGAAAGAAGTATATAATCAATTCCTGGAACTAATTTGTGTCCACGTGTGTTCCTCAGGGTCAAGTTGTCTCGACCTATTCATCAGGATTTTCCTTCCCGACTATAGACTGGGAAGACGTTGCTGTTGGACCTTCTTTTGATGGGACGCCGGGCAGAAGCAGTATCTACATCAACGATGGTGGTGCAGATTTTGGTGGTCCTGTGAATCGTATCTACGTCATCCCCGAGACTGAAACGCCCTACGTTAACACTGCTTATGAAACGTTCAACCTTTTACTTTACAGGTATATAGGAAACTTAGGGACTTAGTTGTCTTAAATAACACAAGAAAATTGTGCGAATATGTATATATATATAAGTATGCTGGAACATTAGGACTTTAAATACGCAAAACAATTAAGACACAAAATAAAGTTGGATACGTAATTTAATCTCATGAAGCATGTGTACGTGAAAGGTATCAGGAAAATGTTGAGTTATTGTGAACTATGATATTATCTGGAATTGTTAAATATTAGCCTCCTCACGTGTTGACGGCTATACCTCCGTCCCGATGGTCCAGTATCCTTCTAATGCCTTCTCGTTCATGTTAGTTGAACCATATATGAATTTCATTACCCAACTGGTTAGGACTGTCAATTCAAGCTCGTGGAGAATCTGTTTACGAAAATAGATTCCAGCCTTCTCTAATTGCCGTACGAGGTGACCAAATGATGTCATGCGCTCTGACATTATACCAATTGCATGGATCAGTGAACATGATCTTAATGACTGGATTGTCTGCTTCAGATTCTGTTATGTACAAGCTTCCGTCATATAGCAAGAATAACAAACAACAGTTAATTCAAAGCATGAACTTTTCTCTGTTTTTCTCTAACTATTAATTATCAAACACATTTAGAAATAATATGCATTCTTTTTCACCAGCTATCTCGGTAACAATATCGAAACACACGCTTTGATGGTGGGCTGTGATGGAGAAATCTACGTGTTTGGCTATGCGCAGAACTTTGGTGATCCTATCAATGTCTACAAACTGATAAAAACAAGTGTCTCCGTCTACGCCGCCGTAGTGATTGCTACCATCCCAAATCCGTCGCTTAGAGCTGGTCCAGAAGCGGCTGACATCTCAGCATGTTGTGACGAGATTCTCGTGAAGTACACTGATGGCGTTTTCAAATACAGTTTGACAAACAACGACGTTGCAAGTGCCTTCCTTAGAGATCCGACCAGTCTACCCTACATCCCAGAGACAAAAGGAGCTTCTATTGCCATCACGGCTGACTGCAAGGCATACCTTACCACTGAAGATCAGGACACTTCGTTCCCAGCTCCTCTCAAGAAGTACGAGAGGATTTCTTGCTGCAAGAATGAAATATATAATTATTAAATGCTCATTAATGTTGGTGATCTGCTGATATGCTTGTGTTATCATTTACTTTATATTGAGGGTTATCCATATGTTTTATAAAAGCACGACCAATACAGTGAGGTGAGGTGAGGTGAGGTGAGGTGAGGTGAAATTGGGTTTAACGTGTGTGTGTGTGTGTGTGTGTGTGTGTGTGTGTGTGGCTGCTTGTACTAGTTCGGAATGATGCCGATTTATAGTGCTAGCACACTGAGATATCATGCCGCAGTTTAACATGAATACCCCACTCAGACACAGCATACTGACTCCGAGCCGACCAGTCCTTGTTTTAGCCCCTTAATGCAGAGCGCCAGACAGGGTAACATCAAGTACCATCTTTTAACGTCTTTTGGTATGACGCTCTCCGGGCGGACGCTCTACCACTAGACCACGGAGGCGGTCCCCAAATACAGTGATGATCACCAACGACGTCAGTAGAAAACGCGCAATAATGCTGAACCCAGTGTCCTACTCAATCATGTCCCTTGTGTCTTCAGTTATGACTCTTAGTCTTCGTACATGGAATGCACATTGTCTATTATATGGTATACATGATACAAAATAGTGTAAATCCAAACTCAGTGGACACACTGGCTATTCAGGAACATTGACTTTCGCCAAATTGTGATTATATATTTAATGATTTGTCAGATTTTTTACTTATTATCTATTCATACAATTCACAATAACGTTCGGCTAGAGGCTCTGGTCGCACGGCTATTCTATGTAATGATACATCCATGTGGAGTGCTTAGTCGCAACAAACTAACTCTCGTTTTTTTTGTAGCTGCTACTATTAATGCTTAGGGTTATAATGATGTCTTCGTTATATGTTGCCGTCTTCCCTCAACTAACGTCTTACATTCAGTGTTAACGTATTAGGTGAACTCATTGACATGTATGATACTTTAAGTGCCAACGGTGACACTGTCATATCAAGTTATTTGAATTCTGATATTCACAGAATAAACATGTCTCCTCGTGATAAACTGCTTTAAAAGGTAATAGATCATAGGCACCTAGTTAGTGTAACTCATAACTTATGCAACACAGGTCCCGGATATACGTACAGAAGGAAAGACAATGTTAATACATCACTTATTGACTATGCCCTCATACCATCCAACATGAGTAACTGCATCATCCACTGTAGCATAATGTCAGTACGATACTTAGGACCACTTGCCTGGCCTTGTCTGCTTACAATGTACTCATCAAACTCGCCCCAATGTGGAAAAAACACATGTTCTAAAGTGGCACACAACATACGAATTATAAATCGTTTGATAGGCATTACTTAGAAGTTGACGGATGACAAGGTAGACACAATTTTTATGGATAACAACTTCTTTAATACTGAGAAAAGCGACGTTTCGGTATAGATCCTTATACCGTTGTCAAGCAAGACTGAATGAGGGACATAGTTTATTGGCTTCATGTCCCTATTGGCTTCCACCTATGTGTTCTCTGTCCATCGTGTTGTGACAGCATCATCCCTTTGTTGTCAACACCTACCAATGTTATCCCACTCATGTATACTATTGTTGTTACTGTTAATCTTCTACTGTTAATCCTCCACCTACTATATATATTCTGCACTATGTCCCTCATTCAGTCTTGCTTCACTGACGAGTCTCGTTTTCACCTCAGCCACAGCGATAGACGGATTCGAGTGTACCGACGTCGAGGTGAACGTTACGTCAATCATTTTGTCATGGAATAAGAACGGTTCGGGTGCGGCCGCGTTATGGTATGGGGTGGGATTACAGCAAGACAGAGGACTCGTTTGATAGTGGTAGAGGGAAATCTCAGTCGACAGCGCTACCGCGACGAGATCATCGGCCCTGTTGTTCTACCGTTTTTTGCGTCGTCATGGCCCAGGCATTACCTTTCAACATGACAACGCCCGGCCTCATATTGCTCGACTTGTTCAGGATCGGCGGCGCCTTCGACGGCAACCACGTGTTCCACAGACAGTCCAGGAACTTCGAAATATGCTTCAGCAGATATGGACAGATATCCCACAGGACTTTGTGCGACGCCGGGTCGATTCCATGAGACGAAGATGTGTTGCTTGCATCGCAACCAGAGGTGGACACACACGCTATTGATTTGTAAATTGACATTTTGGCATGTTCATGATTTTTATAAAATCACGCATTTTCTGAAGTAAGTATGGCAATTTAAAGCATTTGAACACTTACAGGAATCTTTTATCTGTTGCAAACCAAAATTGTTTCAGATTTGGTAAAAAACATAACTTTGCATATTAAATCTTATTCAATGTCACAGGATTTTTTGTTGTTCAGTATATGTAAACTGTGGGGTGACTATTATTCATGTGGCAGAGTAATATTTTGTACATACAAGTTAGGTTTTAATTCTATTTTAGCTATAGTTTTATACACATTCTATTTCATATTTGAATTAAGTAGTACAGAGTTTATTTACCTGTCTTACTTTTGCCATATAATTTTATTTCAGTTTAAACATTAATACCACAGCTTATCTGTTTCATTCAGTCTATTATTTATCCAGCCTTGACTAACCATACCACTGCATGCTTTTCACCCACAGCACTTAGTATCCCACCCCGCGCATAGAGTACTCTATTGTTCTCTGTGGTCACTCACAGCTGACCACAGGTATACCTTTGTTTGCTTGTTATCTGAGGCAGTTGCCAGATTACACTTGACATATGTACTCCATAGTCATTTTGTATATATTTTGAATGGATCTTGTATTCATGGATCGAATAGATGTGATTATTTCATGGATTTGAAGGTTAGTCATAGTATATTTCTTGTGTGATACCTTATATGTATTTGTGTATTTCTAATTCTTAAAGTTAGAAATAAGTTGTGCTTGGTTTATTGCTAATCAGGTTGTGTATTGAATCCACAGTTAGTGTATTCTGATCATGATTATTTTATATGATAAAGTATTATAAAGCAGTTTCTTTAATTGATAAATAGCTAATATATCCTAGGCTATTATCATTTTAACTTGAACATTAACTAAATAAAACTAAACCCTAAATAAACTGTAGTAATTCTATACCTCATATCACATTAAGGTAATTGTGTTAATTGTGTATAAGAATGTATGCGTATGTGTGAAAGTGCATTATTTAAGTAATTTGATCAATCCTTATTTTAAATACCTATTTTACTTACGTGTTGTGTATAATTAAAGTGTAAATAGTATCTGCATTAGTTTATACCTTGTCAATGCAGATGTAACTGGCACTATCTTAGAAGCTTTGGTGACACGGCACAGGTTTCACCAGTCTGGTATGTATTGTTTATGTGTTACTCATGAATGTATAAATGTATGTATCTATATATATGCTGACGTATATCTTTGTAATTATCATGTAGTATTGTACTTGTCTAGTGTTATGACAGTAGACATGGTTTATGTTTAGTTTAAACTGATTATAGAGTCATAAGCAGATATAATATATATATCATTGTACAGGTTACTTCCTACATGAGTAACATTGGTTTCTTGCTAATTGAATGTCCCTTAGATGTAAGGCCATTATGTATATTATATCAATGTCAAGGTTCTATGTCTTGTATGCAGTATGTATTATTATTTATACATTGTTGCAGGCCGTATTTATTCACCATTCTCTTCTAAGAGAATAAACAGCCATCAGCTCACACCCTGTAGCCGTTTGTTGTGTTTACCACCCCGACAACTACCGCTACTACATTGGAGCCCCCAGTGAGGATTTGATGGGACCATGAGGAAACTGATGTACACATGAGACCAACCACGGCGTTATGTGACGTCACACTTGAGGATCGTTCCGCCATTATGACATCATGTGATCTGCGATGTGTGTTGACACAAGACCGGTAGATATGTGATTACATGTGACTTGAGTATTGATGAGACATTGAACATTATTATTGTTGTAATCATATATACTCTTACTCAACGTTGAGCATTTCTGAATTGATCATGATCATGACACTCTACGCTTGTGATAATTGTGACACTTTGTGTGTATATTAACCTGGATCCAGCAGTGAAAGTAATTGACAATTTATCATCATAAACTTTTTACACACAGCCGAGTTGAACTGACAACTGCGAGTGTGTGAAACTTCTGGATATTGCTTCACTTATCTCTTGTGAATACCATGTCGTATTTCTGTGTTCTTTTGTATACCATAGTGATGGCAATGCTATGCTGTACTTGTCATGTGACATATTTGACATGTTGTCTTCCGGAATGACTTCTCACTTACATGTTTTGCCATGCAATGAATTATATGTATGATTCATGCTATATTTGTGTTGGATGTGTATGATTAAAATCTGTCCTATAATCTGTGTGTTTATGCATATGTTGTTTGCAATATACATGTATTATACTATGGCCATTTTCAGGAGCGCTCCGACCATACCTATTATTCATGCCAGTCTTATGCTTCATGTATTTTTGTTTGGTATCTAAGCACTGTATGATTGGTCTGTGTGTGTTTGTGGCTAGGTAGTTAGTAAAATCAACTACTTAACTAACATAAATCATATAGCTATTACTTTAATTCCTAAATAGAGTGATAGGTTCATTTTGAGGTTAGCTCACTACATGTAGTTCATTAGCAGTTGTTGTCTTGCTAGTTTGCTACACTCAGGGAATTGTTGCTTGCTTTTCTAGTGTTGTCTTTGGTGTTGGTTTGCACTTGGTGTTCACTTAGTTTTGTACTCGGTTACATTCAGTGTTCTACATCGTGCAACTAAGGGTCATTGTCTTTGCTTAATCATGTAGAATCAGTTGTTTATACTTGACCCAATATCTGCGCGCGCAATAGTACACTCTGCACTGATGCACATTGCATTCTAATACTTAGATAGTATTACGTGATGTGGTAAGTCATCATAAGCATGTACTGAAGACAAGCTTTAGTAAGTAGCTTGTGGGGTACCTGTGCACTACTTATCAACATACTTAGATTACATAGCAATTCCATTGACCTTGCCAATTATTTCTTATAATACACATGTAATGGGTATATTATCGTAGAATTCCTACACTGCGTGACATCATTGTACTTTGATTTTACGTGTGTGCAGTTAAGCACATTCATTTAGCTAACTGTGTAGTTTCTCTCCTGTGTGATTACATTGCACTCCAAGATCACACATCCCAATTTTTTTGGTTAGTTTATTTAAGTCTCTTTCAGCCTTTTGTTTTTTTGTTTTGTTTTTCACTTTGCATTTCGCCCACACGTCACAATGGCAGAAGGAGGACTTTCTGAGGAAGAGGTGCAGAAATTAATTTCTTCTTTTCAAAAACTAAAACTTCACCCTAAAGCTGACACACCAGAAGACTTGTTGAAGTGGATATCCGAAGTCGGTCAGGTAAAGCAGGAACATGGTCAACATGGTCAAGCACAAGCAGGTTCAGAAGGTTCTTTCGTGCCTACTACTGTCACCCTGGCCCACACTCCACAGCTTCCATACTTTTCTGGTGACAGGAAGGGGGATGCCGATTTCGATCAATGGAGACACGAGTATACTTGTATGTCTACTCGTTACTCTTCAAAGATCGTTGCTGAAGCTGTTCGGCGCTCGTTACGTGGTAGAGCTGCTAGAGTGGCTATGCATGTAGACAAGGATGCCCCATTGAAGACAATCATCTCCAAGCTTGCTAGCGTGTTTGGTGATGTTCACACGGAACACAACATTATGTCACAGTTCTACACAGCCAAGCAAGGGGATGAAGAAAGTGTAGCAGAGTGGTCATGCCGACTAGAGGATATTTTGAGCCAAGGAGTCACACTTGGAAAAGTACAGCCTGGACAAACAGAAGATTTACTAAGGACTACCTTGTGGACTGGACTTAGATCACAACTGAGGGACCTCACAAGTCACAAGTTTGATCAAGGTGGACCATTTGAAGACTTTCTTCGTTACCTCAGGCAGGTGGAAGCCGACTTAAAGGAGAGGAACCCAGTGTCTAAGAAGAGGCCTGATGCCACCAGTAAGGCCACATTCACTCAGGATTCAGAGCTTAAAGAAATCCGGGGAATCCTGAAGTCCATGTCAACAGAGATTGCTGCTCTCAAGAAACAGAATAAGGACGCCAAGGAATCAGACTCTTCACAGGCAAACACAGGAGCAGCAAGGTATAACCAAGGTCAAGGTCAATCATGGCAGATACCACCTAGACAGTGGATACGTCCACAACAGCCTAGAGAAAATCCGCAGTTTGGACGTGGTGGCCAACATAGATTCCAAGGACCACAGACCTTTTCTGATATTCCGGTTTGTTACCGATGCGGACAACCTGGACACATTAGGAGAGGATGTAGAGCCAGGATAGACAATGGTCCTTTAAACTTCAATCGGCCTATGGGGAGAGGCGGACCATGGGCCTAGACACACAGCATGTCAGCAGTCAACAGCAGTTGGTTGCAGAATTAGTTGGTAAGCCTACTGAGACTAATATCATGGTCAATGGTGTTAGTTCCAGGGCTTTACTTGACACAGGAGCGACCATTTCTTCTATTTCCGAGTCTTACTACCAACAGAATTTCAGTGAGATTCCTATTGAGCCACTTAAACACATCCTTAACATCGAGTGTGCAGATGGAGAGTTTTTACAGTATAGTGGATACATTGTTGTGGACATTCAGGGAACAGGAAGTGCTCTATCCAAAGTCCGATGTTTACTTCTTGTAGTTCCTGACAGTTGTTACAACCAGACAGTTCCAATTACTCTAGGTACCAACGTTCTCTCTGTCTACATGCTCCAGTGCAAGGAGGAGTTCGGGGAAAGATTCCTTCAGAAAGCAGACCTCCATACTCCTTGGTATTTGGCTCTTCGTTCCATGTCCCTTCAGGAGAGAGAACTTGTCAAGAACAATTATTCCATAGGACGAATTAGAAGTTCAGAGCCAGGTCGCAAGATAATTCCAGCTAATTCTGAAATTGTTATTCGTGGACATGTGATACAGCCCCTACCTTACAGATCCACTTGCGCCATTATTCAGCCTACAAGAGGATCAGTCATCCCAGACGACCTTGACATTGAACCAACTTTAGTATCATATGATGGAAGAGGACAGAAGATGTTTGTGGACATACATGTATCAAACCTCACAACTCGTTCTGTTTCCATTCCAAGTCGTGCTCTCTTATGCGAACTACAAGTTGTTAGCACAGAAGATGTACCCGAGATTCATCTTTTTACTCCAAGTAAGGACACAGATATTATGAATCTTATGGACTTTAAGGAAGCCAGTGTAACAGACAAGGAACTTCAACAAGGGAAACAAGTTATTTCCGACTACATCGACATCTTTTCAACAGGAGACACAGATGTTGGTCACACTTCTTCAGTGCAACATAGGATCGACTTAGTAGATGACACGCCATTTAAACAGCGACATCGTCGAGTCCCACCAGCCATGTATCAGGAAGTTAAGGATCACTTGCATCATCTACTCCTTGCTGGTGTCATAAGACGTTCTCACTCTCCATGGTCATCCAATGTTGTGCTTGTGCGCAAGAAGTCAGGAAAATTAAGGCTATGTGTAGATTTTCGACAACTGAACCAGAAGACGATCCGAGACAACTACGCAATTCCGAGGATAGAAGAGATGTTCGAAGCCCTCTCAGGAACAAGACTTTACAGTACCTTGGACAGGAAGAGTGGTTATCACCAAGTAGAGATAGAGGAAACACACAAGGAAAGAACAGCCTTCACCGTTGGACCCTTGGGATTTTACGAATACAACCGTATGCCCTTCGGATTATGTAACAGCCCAGCGACATACCAACGGCTTATGAATGAATGTTTTGAAGGTCTTCACTTGAAGATATGTCTCATCTACTTGGATGACATCATCGTCTACTCCCAGTCAGTCAGCGAACATCTCATCAGGCTCAGTCAAGTATTCCAGAGGATCAGAGATACAGGTCTTAAATTATCTCCAGAGAAGTGTTCCTTCTTCAAGAAGAAAATCAAGTTCCTTGGCCATGTGGTGACTGAAGAAGGAATTACAACTGATCCTGATAAAGTGGACAAGATATTGAACTGGCCTCAACCAACCAACCCAAGTGATGTCAGAAAGTTCCTCGGTTTCGCCGGATATTACCGCAAGTTTGTTAAGGACTTTGCCAAGATTGCTAAGCCTCTGTCATCACTGATGCCCCATGGTAAATCTGGAAAGTCCAAGAAGAAGGTAATGGAACAGCCTTGGACTTGGGGAGCTGAACAAGAACACGCCTTTGAGAAACTGAAGACACTGCTAGCTTCACCACCCATCCTTGGATATCCAAACTATGGAACACCATTTGAGCTCCACACCGATGCCAGCGGTCAAGGACTTGGTGCAGTATTATATCAGGAACAGGATGGTGTGAAGAGAGTCATCAGCTATGCCAGTAGAGCACTCACCAAGTCAGAAGCAAACTATTCAGCTCATCGTTTGGAATTCCTTGCACTCAAGTGGGCGGTTTGTGAGAAATTCCATGACTACCTGTATGGAGCAAAGTTTACAGTTCTCACAGACAACAACCCCTTGACATACGTGCTCACCAGTGCAAAGTTGGATGCCACAGGTCACAGGTGGTTGGCAGCCCTTGCAGCATATGACTTTGATGTTCAGTACCGGCCAGGATTGAAGAATACAGACGCGGACACCTTGTCAAGGCTTCCGGAACTAAGTAGCAACGCCCCCACAGAACAACTTTCCATGGAATCTGTGAAAGCCATTTGTGGAGTTCTACACACTCAGCCATACGTAGAGTCTTTGTGCCTTTCTACAGCTGCAGTTGATGAGGAATTGCACCAAGAAGGGAAGGATCTGCAAGGAATGACAGACCGGGATTGGCGTATGACACAGGCTGCTGACGCAACCCTGTACCCATGGATCCAAGCAGTAAGAGCCAAGAGGAAACCCAGGAGACAAGACTATCCGCATACCCCCGCTGACACATCATTACATCGATGCTTCGACAACCTCACTCTCCAGCGTGGGATTCTATATCGCCAGATCAAGTCTGAAGGAGAGACAAAGTATCAGCTGGTGTTGCCATCCCGATTTATCTCTGATGCATTACAAGGCTTGCACAACGAGATTGGACATCCAGGACGTGACCGAACACTATCACTCCTACGTGACAGGTTCTATTGGCCAGGGATGCAAGCTGACACAGAAGACTGGATCAGGAATTGCAACAGATGTTTGAAAAGGAAGACACCAACAAATGCACGTGCTCCTCTCGTTAGTATCACAAGTACCCAGCCTTTGGAATTAGTCTGTATGGACTTCCTTACTCTGGAGACTTCAAAGGGAGGATACCAACATCTGCTTGTGATAACTGACCACTTCACACGATACGCCCAGGCAATACCTACTCGGAACTTAACTGCCAAGACAACAGCAGAGGCGTTCTACAACAATTTTGTTATGCATTATGGGATGCCCATGCGGATCCACAGTGACCAGGGTGCAAACTTTGAAAGTAGACTTATGAAGGAGGTTTGTGACATTCTAGGCCTATCTAAGTCAAGGACCACACCGTACCATCCAATGGGGAATGGCATGACAGAAAGGTTTAACCGGACACTGCTTGACATGCTTGGTACTCTGCAGCCAAGTCAGAAGAAGGATTGGAAATCACACGTGAGACCCTTAGTTCATGCCTACAATGCTACCAGGCACGAGTCGACTGGCTACACTCCTTTCTACTTGATGTATGGAAGAGAGCCTCGCCTACCTATTGATCTTGCATTTGGAATCGAAACGACCAGGGACAAGCACACTCTTACATCTTATGCTGAAGCCCTTAGACAGCGACTAGAACAGTCTTACAAGATTGCTTCTAAAGCATCAAGAACAGCCCAAGGTCAACAGAAAGCAGGCTATGACTTGAAGATCAGAGGTGCTATTGTGCAACCCGGAGAGAGAGTCCTTGTCAAGATTCTAGCCTTTGAAGGCAAGCATAAGCTTTCGGACAAATGGGAGGAGGACCCTTACATCGTTACTTCTCAGCCAAACATGGGCATTCCAGTGTTTGTTGTGCAGAAGGAAAACGGAGAAGGCAGAACACGTACTCTGCACAGGAATCACCTCCTTCCTATAGGATCTTTGCCAAGGACAGATGAGCCAGACAAGCCAGCCAGACCAATTCCAACTCCGAGACCACGTCGCAGGAAAGGACAAACATTGCCAGCCAAGGAGACAACAGAAGTGTCGGACCAGGATGAAATCAAGTCGGTTAGTACAGAGAGCTTGACAGCTGGAGTACCCATAGTGGCTGATGACATCACAATCATCAGTGAAGATTTTATGGAAGATGGCGCTATCTCACAGTCTGAAGGTGACGACCCGACGACTGGAGGGGTAGACAGTGCAACTTCTGATGGTGACGGCCATACACTGCAGGACGGAGATCCCCTCAGTACAGAAGTTGATGCTGGAGATGTAAGAACTGAAGAACAGGATCAGGAACCAGACTTACCTAGAGGAGCTCCCACCTCTTTGACACCTGATGTCCGACCAAAATCAAAACCACCACCAAGAACCTCTACCCGACAGAGAAGACCACCGGAATGGCAGCGCTCAGGGGACTATGTCATGAACCAGGCTACTGCAGAGGATTGGAGACGAAAGGCCAAACTCCTAGAGCAACTGGCAGAGGTTGGAGTCTTCCAGCAACTTGGTGGAGCCATGTCACAAATGATTGTATCCCTACTGGATAAACCCGGCAAATGACGGGACGTCATTTGTGTGGAGGGGGAAGTATGTGGCAGAGTAATATTTTGTACATACAAGTTAGGTTTTAATTCTATTTTAGCTATAGTTTTATACACATTCTATTTCATATTTGAATTAAGTAGTACAGAGTTTATTTACCTGTCTTACTTTTGCCATATAATTTTATTTCAGTTTAAACATTAATACCACAGCTTATCTGTTTCATTCAGTCTATTATTTATCCAGCCTTGACTAACCATACCACTGCATGCTTTTCACCCACAGCACTTAGTATCCCACCCCGCGCATAGAGTACTCTATTGTTCTCTGTGGTCACTCACAGCTGACCACAGGTATACCTTTGTTTGCTTGTTATCTGAGGCAGTTGCCAGATTACACTTGACATATGTACTCCATAGTCATTTTGTATATATTTTGAATGGATCTTGTATTCATGGATCGAATAGATGTGATTATTTCATGGATTTGAAGGTTAGTCATAGTATATTTCTTGTGTGATACCTTATATGTATTTGTGTATTTCTAATTCTTAAAGTTAGAAATAAGTTGTGCTTGGTTTATTGCTAATCAGGTTGTGTATTGAATCCACAGTTAGTGTATTCTGATCATGATTATTTTATATGATAAAGTATTATAAAGCAGTTTCTTTAATTGATAAATAGCTAATATATCCTAGGCTATTATCATTTTAACTTGAACATTAACTAAATAAAACTAAACCCTAAATAAACTGTAGTAATTCTATACCTCATATCACATTAAGGTAATTGTGTTAATTGTGTATAAGAATGTATGCGTATGTGTGAAAGTGCATTATTTAAGTAATTTGATCAATCCTTATTTTAAATACCTATTTTACTTACGTGTTGTGTATAATTAAAGTGTAAATAGTATCTGCATTAGTTTATACCTTGTCAATGCAGATGTAACTGGCACTATCTTAGAAGCTTTGGTGACACGGCACAGGTTTCACCAGTCTGGTATGTATTGTTTATGTGTTACTCATGAATGTATAAATGTATGTATCTATATATATGCTGACGTATATCTTTGTAATTATCATGTAGTATTGTACTTGTCTAGTGTTATGACAGTAGACATGGTTTATGTTTAGTTTAAACTGATTATAGAGTCATAAGCAGATATAATATATATATCATTGTACAGGTTACTTCCTACATGAGTAACATTGGTTTCTTGCTAATTGAATGTCCCTTAGATGTAAGGCCATTATGTATATTATATCAATGTCAATGTTCTATGTCTTGTATGCAGTATGTATTATTATTTATACATTGTTGCAGGCCGTATTTATTCACCATTCTCTTCTAAGAGAATAAACAGCCATCAGCTCACACCCTGTAGCCGTTTGTTGTGTTTACCACCCCGACAACTACCGCTACTACATTCAGAATTGGCAAAACCTCACCACTCTGATGATTATGACGAAAACTTTAATCTGCACCCAGTTGCGTGTGTCAATATGTTGAAAAGAATGATGTACAAGCTTTTATGGATGTGACTTGTTACCAGCCTTATACGGTAAAGAACTTGAAATGGTTGATTGTACACAACGCTAATTTTCTCGCCATACACAAGGGTTTGGTAAAAGACATCCAACCGATTCGTCTATTTCTTACTTGGGAATGTGGTCAATGAATGGTTACATTGATAAATGTAGACTACAATTATTACGAAGGTTCTATATTAACGATTGTAACAATAACAAAAAATCAAAATTGTGCTCACATTGCTACCAATGCTATTGTCAATATTAGCCGTCCAGTAAGCATATGCCGCATCATTCTATAACCTGCTACAAAACATCATTTAGATAATTATACTGAACCGCAAGAGAAACGTCACCCCAAGTAACATTGCATGAAAATTTGTCATTTAAATATCTGGGTAATTTTTGTCTAAGTGTCTAAAATTTAACATCACCTTGTTCGTAAAAATGAAATTTGATGATAGAAAAACAAAGCAGATGACAATAAAACCAATCGCCCAAATGCATCACGGCAACGGCAATGGTTACCCAATGCACGTGAGTTCCGTGCAAATTGAAATGCACAAGCGTTCCTGTAATGGATCCTGTTTCGTTTACAGATTCGAGTTTTGTATGTATTGTTGATTTGAGATTGCCGGACCAAGTTTTTGGTACTGACCGTCACATGGCTGAAGTAAAGTTGGCTCGTATTGAGCTCGAGTTGTGTCATTAATACAGAGGTATTACATGGTGTCAGAAGTCATGGCAGGTCGAATTGACATTTCGCCCATGAATTTCGATGCCGCTAATGTGGCAGAAAGTTGGAAAAAGTGGAAACAGACGATAGAATTGCTGTTCAGTGGACCACTAGCGGCGAAAGATTAAAAGGAAAAGTGTAGCTATTTTCTGTTGTACATTGGTCAGGAGGGCCGAGATGTATTTAATACTTGGACATTGACAAATGAAGAAAAGGATAAATTGCAACCTCTGTACACAAAATTTGAAAACTATTGTATTCCTAAAACGAATGTGACAATCATGCGCTTTCGCTTTAATACACGTGTTCAGGGCCAAAATGAGACAGTGGATTCATATGTGACAGAAATCAAAACCCTCGCGAAAGATTGTGCCTTTGGTGCGATTGCTGATGACATGGTTCGTGATAGAATAGTTTGTGGAACGAGTAACAAACAAGTACAAGAAAGACTGTTACAAGAAGCAGATTTGACAGTAAATAAGGCCCTTGAAATAGCGAGAAGTTTTGAAGTGAGTAAAAAACAGATGAAAGAAATTCAGTCAGAGGCAGTTTGTAGCATTCAGAAGAGAAGTGGTGGTTATACTCATCAGAGAAAGTTAGGGGACAGTAGTCAGAAGCGATCAGCAAGTGCACAGGCTAGTGTGAAAACAAGTAGTGATATGTGTGAAAGATGTGGAAAATCACATTCAAAGAATGACATGTGTCCTGCAAGAAGTGCTGAGTGTTTGAAGTGTCACAAATTTGGACATTATGCATCAGTTTGTAGGTCCAGAACAGTAGCGAGGAATCCACCTAAAACACAGAACTCAAGAGGGTCCGGAAGATGGAAACAAGGTCAAAGCAACTCAAAAGTCCACAGTTTAGAGACTGATGAACTCTTTATTGGGACAATAGAGGATAGAAAGGGTGAAAGTGGTGAAGACTATTCAGAACAATATGCAGATATCCTAGTGAACAAGAAGTTCATAGTAGCTATGAAGATAGATACAGGAGCACAAGTTAATGCTATGTCAGAGAGAGACTTTCTAAAAGTCTGCAAGTTTGCAGGTCCTCTTGAGAAACCGGACACAAGGCTTTACGGCTATGGACAGAAGTGGTTGAAAATTGCAGGTATGACTTACCTGGATTGTAGTTACAGAAATGTGTCTGTACGCCTAAAGTTCTATATAGTGCAAGAAGAGGCACCCTCAGTGTTAGGACTTCGAGCCTGTGAGGACTTAAACCTGATAAAAGTCCTGTTGAACATTGAACGCCTGATTACTGATGCAAGTAGTTCTGAGAAAATACTCAGGATGTTTCCAGATATCTTCCAAGGCTTAGGATGTCTTGAAGACAAGTACAGTATTCAGCTTGACCCAGAAGTGAAACCAGTAGTACATGCTCCACGGAAAGTTCCGATTGCCCTACATGAGAAAGTTCAAGTGGAACTTCAGCGAATGGAGGACTTGGGAGTGATCATGAAAGTGGAAGAGCCCACTGAGAGGGTAAATTCTATGGTGGTCGTCCCTAAAGCCAGTGGTGAAATTAGGTTGTGCCTTGACCCAGCTGACCTAAATAAGGCGATACAACGTGAGCACTACAGAATGCCCACGATACAAGATGTGACCTCAAAGATTGCTGACCACAAGTACTTCACAGTTCTAGATGCGAAATCGTCATACTGGCAAGTACAACTTGACCACGACTCCTCCATGTTAACCACGTTCAACACTCCATGTGGTAGATATAGGTTCTTACGTCTTCCATTTGGAATTAAAAGTGCCAGTGAAGTGTTCCAAAAGCGCATGGACAAAATCTTCGAAAAACTGAACTATACTCACCCAATAGTAGATGATATTCTCATCAGTGGCAGAACCATTGAGGAACATAACAAGAACCTCATGGACACTCTTGAGACTGCAAAAGGAAGTGGTATCAAGTTAAATGCAGACAAGACTCAACTGTGTTCGCAGGAAGTGAAATTCTTTGGTGAAATACTTACCTCTGATGGCATGAAACCAGACCCGGATAAAGTTGAAGCAGTACGCACAATGACAACTCCAACAAGCAAGAAGGAGCTTGAAGGTTATCTGGGAATGTTCACTTATCTTGCACAGTATTCCCCTTGTCTTTCTGAGAGAACTCACATCCTGCGTGATCTGATTAAGTAAGACAGTCAGTGGAATTGGACTCCAAACCATGAACAAACGTTCCAAGAGATCAAGGATCTCATCGCAAGATCACCAGGTCCTGTTCTGCGATATTTTGATTCCCAGAAAGAAGTCGTTCTGCAAGTGGATGCATCCCAGAATGGTGTTGGGGCTGTTCTGTTACAGGAAGGACACCCTGTAGCATTTGCATCCAAGTCTATGACGTCATGTCAGCGCAAAGACTGCAAAGGTATGATGTTGTTGTCAAGTACATTCCAGGAAAAGACATTCCTGTGGCTGATATGCTGTCCAGACACTTTATAGAAGAAAAGCTGACAGACTTGAACTCATTTGATGAGGAAGTTAGCGCATATGTTCATATGGTGACAACAGACTTACCTATTTCAGATAGGAAGATGTCTGAGATAAAATCCGCTACAGTTGAAGATGAACAGCTGCAGGCAGTGATTAGTGCAGTGCAAAATGGTTGGGCAGCTACACACGTAGACTGTTCCGCTCAAGTCAAGGACTTTTGGACATTTCGAGAGGAAATCTCCTGTGTTGATGGAATTGTGTACAAGGGGAGTAAAGTAGTCATTCCCTCGAAACTCAGAGTTGAAATGCTTCAATGCATTCATAGTGGTCATCAAGGCATGACCAAGTCGAAAGAAAGAGCTAGAGAGATTCTCTTTTGGCCGTGTATGAACAAAGATATTGAGAGAACAGTAGAGCAGTGTGCAGTATGTCAAGAGCACAGGAAAAGTCCTTGCAAGGAACCCATGATCTCCAGTGAAGTACCTACCCTCCCGTGGCAAGTAGTAGCCACAGATCTATTCCATATGGATGGAAGAGAGTATTTAGTAGTAGTAGACTACTACAGCAGGTATTTTGAAGTAGCCCTGTTAACCAACACAAAGGCTTCTACAGTCATCACACATATCAAGTCCATCTTTGGACGACATGGCGTGCCTATGCGTGTTGTCTCTGATAATGGGCCACAGTATGCCTGCGCTGAGTTTAAGACCTTTAGTGACAAGTGGAAGTTTGAACACATAACGTCGTCACCACTGTATCCACAGGCCAATGGTCTTGCTGAAAAGACAGTCCAAACTCTCAAACAGCTGTTACGAAAGTCTAGGCAGAGTCATGCAGATCCATATCTGGCAATGTTGGCTTATAGGAATACGCCTATAAATGGACTCGCCTCACCAGCGCAACTGCTGATGGGACGCAGGTTGAGAAGTGACTTACCGGTGCAATGTGCAATGCTCAGACCTGAAGTTGTTGACTGTGATGTAGTGAAACAAGCAATCTCACAGTCACGAGAGACCCAGAAAGTCTACTATGATCAGAGAGCTCATCCAAGACCACCAATACAGGTGAATGACAGTGTGCGATTGAGGCAAGGGAAGGACTGGATCCCAGCTAAATATGCAAGCACTCCACGTTCTTTGGTAGTAAGAACTCAAGGTGGCTCAGAGTACCGACGGAACAAGCATAACCTGATTCCAACAAAGGAAAATCTTCCTGACGACTGCAGTATTATCCAAAGTCCTGATGGAACCACTCAAGGAGCAACTAATGCTACTCCAGAGAATGTTCCTGTACAGTCTCCAGACACTCCTCCAGACATGAATGTGTCGCAAAGCCTTGTTCCATCGAGGAACCCCATTGCATTCTCATCCAGTGGTCGACCAATCTTCAGACCACAGCGATTCTCTGAGTGACTCTAAAATTGCAATAATGGTTTTATTTGTGATAAAGTTATTGTGCTCAGAGAGACAGACATTTCATTTAACAGTGTGACACTTAAAGTAGTGTTATCTTTATTTTTAGCTTATGGAAAAAAGGGGATGTAATGGATCCTGTTTCGTTTACAGATTCGAGTTTTGTATGTATTGTTGATTTGAGATTGCCGGACCAAGTTTTTGGTACTGACCGTCACATGGCTGAAGTAAAGTTGGCTCGTATTGAGCTCGAGTTGTGTCATTAATACAAAGGTATTACAGTTCCCCCATTTCTTGCCCTATAAAATCCACCCAGATCGGATAATATTCGTTATTGAATTGCTACCACATGCCAAGATTGACAAGAAATCAGCGACACCAAGCCCTTGGACGATTGCAAGCTAGACAAACCGCCCGGCAAGTAGCCAATGCATTTAAACTCCACGTAAGGACAGTATGCAGGCTCCAGCAACGGTACCAGGCCACCAACACTGCAGATGACCGACCATGTAGTGTAAGACCAAGGGTCACCGCCAAACGTCAGGATCGTCAGATTGTGCGACAGCATCTTCAAGATCACTTTGTTACTGCTGCGGAAACTGCTCGACATACCATGGGGACACACCAGCGACACATAGTGCGGACACCGTGCGTCGACGATTGATGAAAAGACACCTCCACTGTCACAGGTCCCACAGGTGGAATTGGTCTTGCACAGAGGATCGCCCCTGTGGTCTTCAAGAACATCGGTCCAGGGAGAGGCAATGGTGTCAAAGCAGCTCGGTACATTGATCAAGTCTTGAGACCACACGCCATACCTCATTGTGCACGTCGTCGCAACCACGAGTTTCAGCATGATAACGCCCGTGCCCACACTGCGAGAGCAACAAGAGACAAGAGTCAGAATGGTATCAGAACCATGCAGTGGCCTGCCCTCAGTCCCGATTTAAATCCCACTGAGCACCTGTGGGACGAGATTCAAAGACGGCTGAATGACGTCCGACCAAGGCCGAAAACTGCAGCTGAACTGCGTCAGGCTTTCCTCAGAATGTGGGCGCAAGTGCCTATGGCCTTCATCAACCACCTCATCCATTCCATGTATCGACGTTGCACGGCAGTCATCAATGCACATGGCGGACACACGAGATACTGTCTTGTGATGCCATTTTCTCAGAGACTAGTGTTGTGTTTCATTTTAAGAACATTTGACACTTTCATTTCAACCTTGATGATCAGTTTTGCCAAGTTTCATCTTTTTAAAATGTCTCAAAGTATGTTTACAGGCGAGCTCTTGTAATCAGACGTCTATCAGAGAATGAACAGTACAATTGGAGAGGGAGGCAAGCACATAGGCCAGATCTTCCAGGTTACCATTAAATTCATAAACGGTTACAAATGCATGTTCTTTACAATGTGATGCATCTCTATCCACATTTAAAACAACCCCTGCACAATCGGATCATGAGCAAAAGTGTCGAAAGAATGTAACCATTGTAAAAGAAATTGGCGGCTTGCTATGACTATGAATGCCATTTATTTTGCACTGTGATTTTTTTATGCCTGACAGAAATCATGTCTTCTCATGCCTGATTGAGAAACTTGATGTAGATGTATATGTGAAAATAGATATGCTTAACGACGATGATATGCTTTCATTCTTTTTCGGTGCAGATGTTCATGACTTGACTGACGAACTTGATTACGATACTTACAAAGCATCATACTGTCCTACTGCCACTTTTTATGGCATTTGAAAAAATACCTTATGTATATCAACTAAATATCCTTCTGCTCACAAAAAATGCACATTGTAATTTGTTTATTCATAGCACTGTATGACATGATTCCATTGTATATAGTCAAGTAATCTCATTGATATATTGTAAATAAGGTATTTGACTGTGTAACATCTTAGGATTCATCTCCGGAGGAAATAAAGAAATACATTCATTCATTCATTCTATCGATAGGACGCCGGGCAGAAGCAGAATCTACATCAATGACGATGGTGCAGATTTTGGTGGTCCTGTGAATTTTATCTACGTCATGCACGAGACTGAAAAACCCACGTTAACACTGCTTATGGAACGTTCAACCTTTTAGTTTACAGGTATATTAGGGAACTTAGCTATCTTTAATCACACAAGAAAATTTATATTATAAGTATGCTGGAACATTAGGACTTTAAACACAAAACAAAGTTAGATACGTATTTTAATCTCATGAAGCATGTGTACGTGAAAGGTATCAGGAAAATGTTGAGTTATTGTAAACTATGAAATTATCTGGAATTGTTAAATGTTAACTGTACCCCCGTCCCGATGGTCCAGTGTCCTTTTGATGCCTTCTCGTTCATGTTAGTTGAACCATATATGATATTCATTACCAAACCGTTTAGAACTGTCAGTTCAAACCCGTGAAACTGATAAAAACAGATGTCTCCATCTACACCGTAGTGATTGCTACCATCCCAAATCCGTCCCTTAGAGCTGGTCCAGAAGCTGCTGATTTCTCAGCATGTTGTGACGAGATTCTTGTGAAGTACACTGATGACGTTTTCCAATACAGTTTGACAAACAACGACGTTGCAAGTGCCATCTTAGAGTGAGTGAGTGAGTATGATTTTACGCCGCTTTTATTCCAGCAATATCACGGCGGGAGACACCGGAAAATGGGCTTCACACATTGTACCCATGTAGGGGACTTACTTAGAGATCCGGCCAGTCTACCCTACATCCCAGGGACAGAAGGAGCTTCTATTGCCATCACGGCTGACTGCAAGGCATACCTTACCATTAAACATCAGGGCCCACTTGCACAAAGCGATCTTATCGCTACAACTATTGCAAGCCTATGTTAACGAATGGCAGTAACGATCATCTTAGTGCAAAGATCGCTTTGAGCAAGTGGGCCCTGGACACTTTCTCCCCAGCTCCCCTCAAGAAGTACGAGAGGATTTCTTGCTGCAAGAATGAAACATATTATTATTAAATACTCAATAAAAATTGGTGATCTGCTGATATGTATGTGTTATCATTTAATATAATTTGAGTGTGTCCTTTTTTACGGTTGAAATTGGCCTGCAAGCCAACAGTTTACTCTCTCCACGAATGAAGATTTTACAACCTATAATTGATTTCGTTTGGGTTGTGTGTTGTTTAAGGTCGCATATTTCAGGTTCGTGGTGATGGCCTAGAAATAATCGAGTCTGGACCAGACAAACCGGTGATTGAGCGATCCAGGCAGTCAGGGTCCGACGACACACAATCAGCCAAGGATGACCACCGATCACCTATTACGATAAACATAATGGGGACCTATTCTAACCCGGCAACCCCATAAAGAGTCTATGACCCACAAGCATCTAGGACCAGAAATGTCTCAACAGACCATGACGACGGACCACTTTCGAAGTGGTGCATCAACTGAACTCGTCGTCTGACAGAACTATCAATAGATTAAACCTTTTTAAAATATTCTGCAGAGTCAAGACCTAACCTAACAACGGATATTATCTAATTGACCGAACTTATAAGTTTCAAATTTCCTTTTCACACACGATAAATCAATAGATAGCTTGTATACTGAACAACAAAAGTTCCTGTGACATTGAATAAGATTTAATATGCAAAGTTATGTTTTTTATTGTTCTAAAACAATTTCGGTTTGCAACAGATAAAAGACTCCTGTCAGTGTTTAAATGGTTTAATTGGCCATACTGACTTCAGAAAATGCGTGATTTCATAAAAAAAACATGAACATGCCAAAATGTCAATTTACAAATCAATAGCGTGTGTGTCCACCTCTGGTTGCGATGCAAGCAACACATCTTCGTCTCATGGAATGGACCAGGCGTCGCACAAAGTCCTGTGGGATATCTGTCCATATCTGCTGGAGCATGTTTCGAAGTTCCTCGAGTGCCTGTTGAACACGTGGTTGACGTCGAAGGCGCCGATCCATCTCATCTCACATGTGCTCGATTGGTGAGAGATCAGGGGAGCGAGCCGGCCAGGGGATGATATTCACGTTGTTTTGTTGAAGAGAATCCTGAACAAGTCGAGCAATATGAGGCCGGGCGTTGTCATGTTGAAAGGTAATGCCTGGGCCATGACGACGCAAAAACGGTAGAACAATAGGGCCGATGATCTCGTCGCGGTAGCGCTGTCCATTAAGATTTCCCATCACTGTAGAAGTGCTTGACGGTGGTTTCCTGTCAAAATGGGACGTCTGGCGGGTCTTCTTTCGACAATCCCTGCACATCTGAGGTTTGTGAAGATATTCGTCGAAGTCCAGGGATGCTTCTTGCAGTCACTGTTTGCTGGAATCGATTTCGTAGGTGTGTTGTTCGAATCCAGTTGTCTTGTCGATTATTGGTGACGCGTGGCTTGCCACTCCGAGGATGGTCTCTGATGGCTCGCAGACGCTCATTTTCGGACATGCGTGGCATTTCGTAATGTTGAATAATTGCGTAATTTTGTTGTTTTTCTGAGTGGTTGTTGTCAGCACGTTGCTAAACAATGCATATGGAATCCCGTCAACGCACATGTTTTTATACCCATTCTTGGGTAGTGAAATGCATGGGGCTTGCATAAAAGTCAACTTTTGTATTATGGAATGCATGCTTTTCTGTAGCAGTTGCGTTTTTGTGACTTGATTCCATACATGTACTACAATATTGAAAACCAAACTTGTTTGAAAAATACACTAAAATATTGGTGTCGCAGGAACTTTTGTTGTTGAGTATATTTACTTTCATGAATTGTCTAGGACTTTGTTGGGTATATTATAATAGCCTGATGGTTGATTACACTCACTCCTTGTGCCACGTGTGTCGCATGTGATGAGTAATTGTGACACTGTAAACACAGTCTCTTGCACAGTCGATTCTAATGCACTCATGCTGGTTCACAAAGGAAATCTCCCTACAAAAAGGTGCCCCCCAAGGCATCTCGTCAAGTATCTGGTCTGTCACAGACGGGTGGCCCAGTCGTCTAAGGCGCCCTAGACTATGAATACCGGTTCGCCCCGAATATGTTTTTTGGTGTGTCTGCACCAAACCCATGCACAAGGGTTTCATCAAAGAGAAAAAACCCCGTCTAAAACGTGCATCACTTCGGGCTTTTCTTCCACACAAGGCTGACACGACGTGATATAACTAGAATTATTACTTGCCCGTGAAGAGAGCACCCGTTTAATAAACATACAGCTTTATTACACATTGTGTAATACCAAAACGCGTGCTTATGTACTCTCGGAACACGTTTCACGAACAAATATTGAAAGCTCTCAACATCCCTTGGCTTATTCAACGACATTGCGTGTGGAGTTGATAGATCACTGAGAGGAGCTTATGCACACTCGATGACCCCAGCAACCTTGTTGCTAGGCTGACGTCACATGGCATTGTTTCGCCGATGGATCTTGCATCAAAATTCCACAAATTACGTCATCGGGTATTGTGACGTTATTGAAAACTTTGAGGTGCAAGGCCCGTTCCACAAGGCGATCGTATTGTAGCCCAACGACAGTCGTTGGTCTAAGTTAAAGTATGTGAGATGCGACCCGTTGTATGGTATAAAATTCATACGTTTCAACTTTTGACGTGTTTGAAGTATTATTCTGTTAAACTCAATTGGACTATGTCGTGGATCATGTAGGTGTCAGCCTATTCATACTCAACAGTATAATTCAAAAAACGTTATAAATTGCAAGTAATAAATAAAATACTAAACTCGCTCCCCTGTAAAACCAATTTTATGAAACTCGTGAATAGTTGTGGTATCTGACTCGCTTTCGCTCGTCAGATACCACAACTATTCACTCGTTTCATAAAATTGGTATTACACGGGAGCTCGTTTAGTATTCTATATTGCTCTTAAAAGCGGCGTTTAACCCAACTCACTCACTCTAAAAAAATAACTATATTCGGGAAAACAAGTTCTTCCTAAACGGTCCTTTTCATCAATGGTGTCACATTAAAAAAAGTGTGTTTGATTTAAAAGATGGCAGTGGAATATATAAAGGAGAAATAACCAAAGCATATGTGACCAACTTTTTATATTAGACATATATCAACGGTAGGGCCATCGCTAACTAGAGAGATGGGAGAAACAACCCGCTGGAGCATCATAAACTCGTGACTAGCTTGGTTCGTTTGTAGCCTACAGACCCATGTCACTTTGTGCATATAATGATTAGTTCCTCTCGTTACTAGTTTCATATCGACATTTTCTGACTTTGTTTAATTGCACATAGTTCTTTTCTCTCCTAAAAGAATTACAGATAGCTGGAAGGTTTAAAGCATGCAGTATAAAGGCATGCATGGCATGCGCTGTGAGTTACATCACTAGTGGGCTCCATGATGCTGTCAGCACTCTGTGCATTTGGCCTTATTGCAGTGTGTGTGTGTAAGTATTGAGAGCTAATTGTACCATGCCTATTTTGCTTACAAACTGTACATATCGTAGTTGTTGGTACCTCGGTACCATCTGTTTTCTGGATACCTAAATTTTTCTGTCAGGATGTGTATCACCGTGTGTATCGTTGTATATATGTACAGTATCTACAGTTCTAGAGTCGCCAAATAGCCGGAATATTGCTAAGCGTTACACAACAAGCACACAAATCATAGGGACATCATTTTTAACTATTGTAATAAACTTGACATATCATGCACTGTCGTTTCCCCGCAATTTCCTCAACCAGACGGAAACCTTAACTGATGATTACTCATATATATCATACATACAATTATAAATTCTGTTATTCTTATGTAAAAGACCGCCTCCGTGGTCTAGCGGTAGAGCGTCCTCCCGGAGAGCGGAAGGTCCGGGGTTCGATCCCCGGCCGCGTCATACCAAAAGACGTTAAAAGATGGTACTTGTTGTTACCCTGTCTGGCGCTCGGCATTAAGGGGCTAAAACAAGGACTGGTCGGCTCGGAGTCAGTATACTGTGTCTGAGTGGGGTATCCATGTTAAACTGCGGCATGGTATCTCAGTGAGCTAGCACTATAAATCGGCATCAGTCCGGACTAGTACAAACAGCCACACACCACATACACGTACATGCACGTCGCTATATAAGTGCAATAATCTTGGACGCGACGTTAAACCCAATTTCACCTCACCTCTTATGTAAAAATAGGTATCTTAACACTTAACACTTAATACTTAAAGCTAAAACCATGGACCCTTTTGTCTTTGACCGTGCATTAACTGACTGAACTGTCAGCTCCACACAACTTGGCAGTGACACAAGTTCTATTTCCGTCTATCATATCCCTTGATGGTCAACAATTTCACGAAACATTGTGTGTCACCAGCGGGATTCGATCCCGTGGAGTCAGCATCGAAGACTTGTAGTCTTCTGTCACGGCAACATGGAAGACACTTTACTAACAACTCAATATTTACTTACTAATAGTTTGTCCGTTTATGAACGGTGAAATGTGTTTCATGCAGTAAGTTTTCAGGGTTTTCTTTGCATTGTACGAACGTGTGATTTGGCAGTTTTTCGTTCAAAGAAAACGTTGAAAATATCTGTTAAAATACTGTTTTCAAAACAATGTTGTTAAAACATTTTAGGTGTTAGGGTTCTTTGAATGTCGGCAATGCTTTAAGCAGGTTAGGTCACTCGGACCCTGGTTTTAAATCGATTAAATGGTTGTTCACTACACAGCGCACGTGGTCAAACTAACCTTTTCAACGATTATACTACGTGTCCTCGTGATCCAATCCACACATAATTCATGTTCACTAAAACTTTGCATTCCTGAATATCATCCTTGGGGTAGAGTAAAAATGTGCTTGTATGTTTATTTCAGACGGAATTCCAAAGACCGAACAATGTTCACTTCGTAAGTAGATCACTAAGTGCAGTCTAATGCGTGACTTTATATTGGGACATCATAGAATGCAGTATGTACAAAATGGAGTGAAGCTCCCTGGATATTCTATTTGGCCTTTTGATGTGCAAAACGATGAATAACATTTACATTTTCATCTTTTGGACACATCTTACACTCCTTTCATGGTAGGCCTGTTGCATGTTTCAACACACAACACAATGTTGAGCTCTTGTTTGTTTGCATTGACAATTACATTCGATAAAAGTACATGATAAATACATAGGCAAATAGTTTTATAACCTACCCGCCTCTACATTTTAAACTTTTTAAGCGCTGTTACTATACTATTTTGTCGTTTTGGCGCCGGATTCCAACCTTGCGTTCACCAATGTCATTGATAAAATTTCAAATTCAAAGGGGAAATTAGCAGCTGTCACCATTGCCTCGCAAACTTCTCTTTTTTATTGTTCAACATTTATGACCTATTAAAGAAATGAATTAATAAATATAAGCATCACTCTTCCCAGTAAGTTTTGAATCAAAATATTGAAAACTATTTTACAAAGAATAGTCTTAGAGTGACATATATACGTTTAGTCCATTTTGGCAGAGTGAGTGAGTATGGTTTTACGCCGTTTTTTAGCATCATTCCAGCAATATGACGGCGGGGAATACCAGAAATGGGCTTCACACATTGTACCCATGTCGGGAATGGAACCCGGGTCTTCGGCGTGACGAGCGAACGCTTTAACCTCCAGGTTACCCGACCGCCCCTCATTTTGACAGAAACAGCATGTGAATGACACGATCAAATATGTAAAATTGGGCATTTTAGACACCCGTAAGGTTAAAAATATGACCTGCTACCAATCCCATCCATTGCTGTTCAAATCTGTGATGTTGTGTTCTAAATATGTTCCCTTGTCTTGGTGATGATGTAATCATCTCAATAGATGCAGCATGACTTGTTCGGAAGTGCCTGTAGAAGGATTAACATAAAGTTATTTAGAATACATTTATGTACGAACAGTAAACATCCTTCTGGGTCATTTGTTGTTACAACATAAAAAAATAATTATTCAAAAATACATTTAATATATTGGAAAAGGAAACCTTCAATTTTCTCCTATTTTCTTTTGAAAGGTAAACCATCGTTTGGCCGCCCACGCGACATTGCTACGATAAAGGATTTTGACGTGACTCCAGCTGGAATAACGTCCAGTGGAATCTATGTAGACGTCCTATACGCCAGTAATGCCGGAGGCGCCGTTGCCAGCAACATAATCTATGCCATTAACGCCTGTACAGGCGACGTTATTGGGGGTATCACCATCACAGGTGCAACGAATGGTGCCTGGGATGATCTGGCTGTCCAAGCCTGTCCTCATCCAATGAGTGGAACCTGTATTTTCGTCCATGATGTTATCACTCAGACTGTGTATATCGTTCAAGAAGAATCCAATCCAGCTTCTTTCATCAGCAAACCAGCTGATAAAACAATTGTGTACACCTACAAGTAAGTGTATATGGGATGAATGTCAGGTGATAAATCCGTGTTGTCAAACTGAGTTTAAGTAATATCAAACAATAGTTTCCTGGGTTCCACAAAATATAAATCAATTTAGCAATTAACTAATTTGATGTACTCATATCACTTATTATATATTCATCAGGGCCGGAGACCCAGGAACTACTGAAAGCAGAAGCATCTTCGTTGATTGTCAGTGCGACATCTACTTCTTTAGCAGGAATAAATTGGGAAATGCTGTGAGACTTTACCGCATTGTTGAAAATGATGACGGTACATACACAGCAAAGCCACAACTACAGCTTGATATCCCGACCGCAGGCACAGGTCCTAAGGGTGCTAGTCTGTCCCGGGACTGTTGCGAGCTGCTTGTGAAGATGGAGGATAAGATTTACTATTACCCCTGGGTCAACAACGAGCTCCAGAAGAACCATGCACTCCTTCTGCCTTCTATAACGTCACCTGTTAGTGACTCCATTGCTTGGGCGTTAGACGGGAGTGGATTCTACACAGCCTTAGAATCTGCACCTTCGACTCTTGCTTTCAGTCCAAGAAATGAACATGTTCCAGGTAAGGCGAACTGACGAACAGTTGCTTGACTTAACCGTTACCATGATAGGAAATGCCATGAATCCATTATTCCAAAAGGCAGCTCTTTTCCAACTGTTGTTTAGGAAGTAGGGAAGCTAGCATTTAAAGGGGTAGCATAGGTAACTTGGAACATTTAAAGGGGTAGTAACAGGTAACTTGGAACCACCACACAAGGTATACCAGATATTGATGGTATTGATTTTCCTTAATGCTGTTACGGAATATGAAATGGTTGGTTAACTAATAAACGTCTTACATCTTACGTATTTAGGATATCAACTGATTTTATTTCAGTCATATATCAATTATAGTTTGACTGTCATTCCGCCTTTGCGAACTGATGCAAAGGTAATTTGGGAAGCAAAATCGAAGGATGTCTTCTTTTATATCAGCTATAAGTTTACAATGCATATATTATTTTGGATACTGGATGAATGAATGAATCCCAAAGATAATTTGCGAAACAACTGACTTCATTTAGTCGATTCGTTGAAATCATATAAAAAAACTGATCATGATATATTATATGTTTCGTCGCTTCAAAAATGGGGCTGCGCATCTCTCTCCATCAGCCCATCCCCCTTTTGGAACCGCGCAAACACATGCCAATCACCATTAATGACATTTCTAACGTGAACCTGTCTTTCCAGACTCCAAGTTCAGCCTTGGGAAAGTTATTGGTGGAGTTGCCAAAGCTGGCTTTTCTGAAATATCTGGTATTGCAGCAAGCAGAGACAACCCTGGCTTCCTGTATATCATCTCGGACACGTCATGCACGGATATTCTAGTTGTGCAGAAGTGGCAGGTAAACTGAAACGTTTTTAAATGGACGTATCCAGGAACGAAAGTTCAATTACACCTTATGCAGTAACAATTAATCAGCTCTATTTAGGAAGTTTTTCAGAACATGTGTTATCGTTCATATCTGGATAGACAGGGATGACATTCGCGACGATTTCAAAAGCAAAATATAAATGAGAACTCAAAACAGTCAACATTGTCCGGTATAACGCGCATGAATGTCGTTGCTAGTAGTGCCAGCAGAAACAAAGATTTTGTTAGATTATTTCAATGTAGTTATACTTAAAATGCAGCTTTTTGGAAAATGGATTAACAATCTTGTATAATTCTCAGTAGACACTGACATCCTCGTGCATGTTTTTGAACAACCTGACTTTGTAATTTGAGAATTCCAAAATGATTCTCATCCGTCAGATATCAAAAAGGTTATATTTTGACGTTTGTTCCGACCCCTTCTCCTTTCCAAAGTCACAACAAAATGTGACCGCCTCCGTGGTCTTGTGGTAGAGCGTCCGCCCGGAGAGCGGAAGGTCCAGGGTTCGATCCCGGGCCGCGTCATACAAAAAGACGTTAAAAGATTGTACTTGTTGTTACCCTGTCTGGCGCTCGGCATTAAGGGGCTAAAACAAGGACTGGTCGGCTCGGAGTCAGTATACTGTGTCTGAGTGGGGTATTCATGTTAAACTGCGGCATGGTATCTCAGTGAGCTAGCACTATAAATCGGCATCAGTCCGGACTAGTACAAGCAGCCACACACACACATACACGTGCATGCACGTCGCTATATAAGTGCAATAATCTTGGACGCGACGTTAAACCCAATTTCACCTCACCTCACCTCACAACAAAATGTCGCTTCATTTAGTACTTATCGATCGCAAAATCATGTGTTCATCCAAAGAATAACTAGAAATGATATACCAGTATGTTACCCTATTCAGGGTCAAGTCGTCTCCACCTATGATGGTAGTAGAAGGCATGTGGTCAACGTAGACTGGGAAGATGTTGCTGTTGGACCCGGTGTGCGCATGCCCGGCGACAAGGGCATGCCTGGAAACGCGATCTTCATTAATGATGGTGGTGCAGACAATGGCGGTCCTGCTAATAACATCTACGTCTTTCCCGAGGTGGAACATCCGTTTGTAAACAGAACCGCTACTTCGGTAAAGAGGCTGCCGTACAGGTATGTATGCTTCATTGATGCCGGTGTCACCCCAAAACATACACTGCAGTTGTATCGGAGTTTTTCCAAATCGGATTGGTCATAAGGGGATTACGTGTGGTTGAGTTAACATCGATTTGAACTGTAAGTAAGCTTATTTATTTGTTTGTTGTTTAACGACGCACTCAGCAATATTCCAGCTATATGACGGCGGTCTGTAAATAATCGAGTCCGGACCAGACAATACAGTGATTGACATCATGCGCATCGATCCACGCAATTGGGATACGATGACATGCATCAACCAAGTCAGCGAACCTGACCACCCGATCCCGTTAGTCGCCTTTTACGACAAGCATAGTCGCCTTTTACGGCAAGCATGGGTTGCTGAAGACCTATTCTACCCCGGATCTTCACGGGTCATGTAAGTAAGTAATGTCCGAGCCTGGTCGTAAAAGAAACAATCCTGCACATATATTCATTTACCTTTCTTTCTTGGCATAGGTATCTTGGAAAAAAGTTTGTGTCACATGCTGTGATGGTAGCCTGTGATGGCACAATCTACGTGTTCGACTATGTACAGAACTTTGGTGATCCCGTCAATGTCTACCGACTGATAAGTACGGGTCGATACAGGTACGCCGCCGTAGTGGTTGCTACCTTCCCAAGTCCGTCTCTGGTAGCTGGTCCAGAGGCTGCCGACATCTCGGCATGTTGTGACGAGATTCTCGTGAAGTTCCGTGATGATGTTTACCTTTACACTATGAAAAACAACGACGTTTCTGCTGCCTTTCTGAACGACCCGTGCCCTTTGCCCTACATCCCAGAGGACGATGGAGCTTCTGTTGCCTTCACGGTCGACTGCAAGGCATACCTTACAATCGAAGACCAGGACTCCTCCCCCGCTCCCTTGAAGGAGTACGCAAGGCTACAATGCTGCAGGAGGAGAGAATACTACTATTAATTATTCAATAAAGTTAGTGATCTGCAGACATATTCGTGTCATCATTTACCTGTATTGTTTATTGGATTACGTAATTACGGAATAAGTATATAGATTATATCTATTTCACGGGCAACATATTTCTAAATATCAAGCATGGATTGAATATCTGTATAACAATAAATTAAAATACACAAGTAATGGATACTGGTCGACAGAGTCTGTCCCGAGCCGAGAAAGAGGAAACGGAGACAATAAGTTGAAGAATAACCAGAGATTAATCAATCAATGTAACAGTGTGGGTGTAACGACTATCTGAATGGCAGATATCGAGCACCACTTTAGATTTCTAAAGGTGTCTTTTCACCTGGGTGACACTTCGGACAAGTTGACTTCTGTGAGTCGCTCTTAGTCACACCCAGTGGATGTTTTGGTTAGGCTATAAAACACGAGGTGGCGCATCGCATATCCATATTTTTTAGATGGCATGTTTGGTTGTCTGAGGAACGAGAAGCGTAAGGTTCACTAAAGACTTAGTGGGATCATAGCAATTAGCAACATAATCGGAATCCATTGTCAAAGTATGCGTGAATACATTTATCGTGTATTGGACCGTTTACTTACCCTGCACAAAGATATGAGCTAATTATATTGCAGAATAGCCGACCCTCTCTTCCAACTAATTGTCTTAGAATGAATGTCAAATCGACATATACCAGATGAAGTTGTAAACGAAAATGGGAGTTATTAACTTATGGATTTGGTTTAGAAACCCATCAAGAACGTTTAAAAACAGACCAAACCGTTTGCGATTATTTCTAAATATTAACCCTGATGAATATATGTATTTAGAACAATTAGACAAATACACTGACGTCATCAGCTGGAACTTGTTCATGCTCTACAATGACGTCATAATCTATACCTGCTACATCCGTTACACTGTCGACCTCGCCTACATCTGGTTCATCCCCTCCATGTACACTTACGATTTCCCCTACATCTGGTTCATCCCTGACACAGACGATCTCACCTACGACTGGTTCATCCCTTAGACAGACGTTCTCCCCTACATCTGGTTCATCCCTTAAACAGACGATCTCACCTACATCTGGTTCATCCCTAAGACAGACGATCTCACCTACGTCTGGTTCATCCCTTACACAGATGATTTCACCTACGTCTGGTTCATCCCTTACACAGATGATCTCACCTACGTCTGGTTCCTGCCTTAAACAGACGATCTCACCTATATCTGGTTCATCCCTTACACAGATGATCTCACCTACATCTGGTTCCTCCCTTAGACAGACGTTCTCCCCTACATCTGGTTCATCCCTTAAACAGACGATCTCACCTACATCTGGTTCATCCCTAAGACAGACGATCTCACCTACGTCTGGTTCATCCCTTACACAGATGATTTCACCTACGTCTGGTTCATCCCTTACACAGATGATCTCACCTACGTCTGGTTCCTGCCTTAAACAGACGATCTCACCTATATCTGGTTCATCCCTTACACAGATGATCTCACCTACATCTGGTTCCTCCCTTAAACAGACGATCTCACCTACATCTGGTTCCTCCCTTACACAGATGATCTCACCTACATCTGGTTCATCCCTTACACAGATGATCTCACCTACGTCTGGTTCATCCCTTACACAGACGATCTAACCTACATCTGGTTCATCCCTTAAACAGATGATCTGACCTACGTCTGGTTCCTCCCTTACACAGATGATCTCACCTACATCTGGTTCCTCCCTTAAACAGACGATCTCACCTACATCTGGTTCCTCCCTCACACAGATGATCTCACCTACGTCTGGTTCATCCCTTACACAGATGATCTCACCTACGACTGGTTCATCCCTTACACAGACGATCTCACCTATGTCTGGTTCATCCCTTACACAGACGATCTCACCTACATCTGGTTCATCCCTTAAACAGACAATCTCACCTACATCAGGTTCCTCCCTTACACAGACGATCTCACCTACGTCTGGTTCCTCCCTTAAACAAACGATCTCCCCTACATAGGGTTCATCCCTAAGACAGACGATCTCCCCTACATCTGGTTCCTCCCTTACACAGATGATCTCACCTACATCTGGTTCATCCCTTACACAGACGATCTCACCTACATCTGGTTCATCCCTTACACAGACGATCTGACCTATGTCTGGTTCATCCCTTAAACAGATGATCTGACCTACGTCTGGTTCCTCCCTTACACAGATGATCTCACCTACATATGGTTCCTCCCTTAAACAGACGATCTCACCTACATATGGTTCCTCCCTCACACAGATGATCTCACCTACGTCTGGTTCATCCCTTACACAGATGATCTCCCCTACATCTGGTTCATCCCTTAAACAGACGATTTAACCTACATCTGGTTCATCCCTAAGACCGACGATCTCCCCTATATCTGGTTCATCCCTTAAACAGACAATCTCACCTACATCTGGTTCATCCCTTAAACAGACGATCTCTACTACATCTGGTTCATCCCTTACACAGATGATCTCACCTACGTCTGGTTCCTCCCTTACACAGATGATCTCACCTACGTCTGGTTCCTCCCTTACACAGATGATCTCACCTACGTCTGGTTCATCCCTTACACAGACGATCTCACCTACGTCTGGTTCATCCCTAACACAGACGATCTCACCTACATCTGGTTCATCCCTTACACAGACGATCTGACCTATGTCTGGTTCATCCCTTAAACAGACGATCTCACCTATATCTGGTTCATCCCTTAAACAGACGATCTCACCTACATCTGGTTCATCCCTAAGACAGACGATCTCCCCTACATCGGGTTCATCCCTAAGACAGACGATCTCCCCTACATCTGGTTCCTCCCTTACACAGATGATCTCACCTACATCTGGTTCATCCCTTACACAGACGATCTCACCTATGTCTGGTTCATCCCTTACACAGACGATCTCCCCTACATCTGGTTCCTCCCTTACACAGATGATCTCACCTACATCTGGTTCATCCCTTACACAGACGATCTGACCTATGTCTGGTTCATCCCTTACACAGACGATCTCACCTACTTCTGGTTCATCCCTTAAACAAACGATCTCCCCTACATCTGGTTCATCCCTTAAACAGACGATCTCACCTACATCTGGTTCATCCCTTACACAGATGATCTCACCTACGTCTGGTTCCTCCCTTACACAGATGATCTCACCTACGTCTGGTTCATCCCTTACACAGACGATCTCACCTACATCTGGTTCATCCCTAAGACAGACGATCTCCCCTACATCTGGTTCATCCCTTAAACAGACGATTTAACCTACATCTGGTTCATCCCTTAAACAGACGATCTCTACTACATCTGGTTCATCCCTTACACAGATGATCTCACCTACGTCTGGTTCCTCCCTTACACAGATGATCTCACCTACGTCTGGTTCCTCCCTTACACAGATGATCTGACCTACGTCTGGTTCATCCCTTACACAGACGATCTGACCTACATCTGGTTCATCCCTAACACAGACGATCTCACCTACGTCTGGTTCATCCCTTACACAGACGATCTGACCTACGTCTGGTTCATCCCTTACACAGACGATCTCACCTACATCTGGTTCATCCCTTAAACAGACGATCTCACCTACATCTGGTTCATCCCTTAAACAGACAATCTCCCCTACATCGGGTTCATCCCTAAGACAGACGATCTCACCTACATCTGGTTCCTCCCTTACACAGATGATCTCACCTACATCTGGTTCATCCCTTACACAGACGATCTGACCTACGTCTGGTTCATCCCTTACACAGACGATCTCACCTACATCTGGTTCATCCCTTAAACAGACGATCTCACCTACATCTGGTTCATCCCTAAGACAGACGATCTCCCCTACATCGGGTTCATCCCTAAGACAGACGATCTCCCCTACATCTGGTTCCTCCCTTACACAGATGATCTCACCTACATCTGGTTCATCCCTTGCACAGACGATCTCACCTATGTCTGGTTCATCCCTTAAACAGACGATCTCACCTACATCTGGTTCATCCCTTAAACAGACAATCTCACCTACATCTGGTTCCTCCCTTACACAGATGATCTCACCTACGTCTGGTTCATCCCTTACACAGATGATCTCACCTACGTCTGGTTCATCCCTTACACAGACGATCTCACCTACGTCTGGTTCATCACTTAAACAAACGATCTCCCCTACATCTGGTTCATCCCTTAAACAGACGATCTCACCTACATCTGGTTCCTCCCTTACACAGATGATCTCACCTACGTCTGGTTCCTCCCTTACACAGATGATCTCACCTACGTCTGGTTCATCCCTTACACAGACGATCTCACCTACATCTGGTTCATCCCTCACACAGACGATCTCACCTACATCTGGTTCCTCCCTTACACAGATGATCTCACCTACGTCTGGTTCCTCCCTTAAACAGACAATCTCACCTATATCTGGTTCCTCCCTGACACAGATGATCTCACCTACATCTGGTTCCTTCCTTAAACAGATGATCTCACCTACATCTGGTTCCTCCCTTACATAGATGATCTCAACTACGTCTGGTTCATCCCTTACACAGATGATCTGACCTGTCTGGTTCCTCCCTTACACAGATGATCTCCCCTACGTCTGGTTCATCCCTTACACAGACGATCTCCCCTACGTCTGGTTCATCCCTTAGACAGACGGTCTCCCCTACGTCTGGTTCATCCCTTAAACAAACGATCTCCCCTACGTCTAGTTCATCCCTTACACCGACGATCTCACTTATATCTGGTTCATCTCTTACACTAACGATCTCACTTACATCTGTTTTATCCCTTATTCTAACGATCTCACTTATATCTGGTTCATTCCTTACACTAACAAGTGAGTGAGTGAGTCAGTTGGGTTTAACGGCGCTTTTAACATCATTCGAGTTATATCACGGCGTGTCAGCTTAATGTGGGAGGAAAGCCCGAAGTGATGCAGGTCTCAGACGCTTACCACT